GGGAGGTGCGCGGAGCTCCGAGGGCTCGGGTTCAGAGGCTGCGTCTCGAGCTCCGCCCGGGGTGATGAGTGCAGCAAAACATTAGCGTAGCGCTACGGGGCCGGGCTAGTGGCGGGCTGCACGCTGACAGTGGCGCTGCTCACATGGCGAGAGAGCAAAGGAAAGCGAAGTAGCAGCAGAGAGCGGCGTGTCTAGACATAATAAAAACCGGGGAGAGATACATGCAGTGGACTGGGCTGATTCAGTTCACACACCCACACACCAGTGGCAACACAGAGGAGAACTGGGCGGCAAAAAAAAAAAGGTTTTTTGATATCGTTATTCATGTAAATTAATCGACTAATAACCGGCTTACATGTGGGCTCTAAATGTGAAGCGCTAACAATAAAATGTCTGGCTTTGTTCAGACAAACTGAGGTGCTGTTCACCAACAGCTAAATTACCGCCACGAAAAAAAAAAAAAGTGGCGCTTTGTTTAACGCCTTAATTTTGAGCTACAGTAATACATAATAGCTTAAAATAGTTATAGGCATAACATTCTGACCACCTCCTTGTTTCTACGCTCATTGTCCATTTTATCAGCTCCACTTACTATATAGGTGCACTTTGTAGATCTACAGTTACAGACTGTAGTCCATCTGTTTCTCTGTTTCTCAGTCTTTAAAACGCCTGTGTCACTGCTGGACTGAGAATAGTCCACCAACCAAAAATATCCAGCCAACAGCGTCCTGTGACCACTGATGAAGGACTAGAGGATGACCAACACAAACTGTGCAGCAGCAGATGAGCTATCGTCTCTGACTTTACATCTACAAGGTGGACTGACACCGTAGGAGTGTCTAATAGAGTGGACAGTGAGTGGACACAGTGTTTAAAAACTCCAGAAGCACTGCTGTGTCTGATCCACTCAGACCAGCACAACACACACTAACACACCACCACCACATCAGTGTCACTGCAGTGCTGAGAATGATCCACTCTGTTATGGGTCCATGGGGGTCCTGACCACTGAAGAACAGGGTAAAAGGGGGCTAACAAAGTATGCAGAGAAACAGATGGACTACAGTCTGTAACTGTAGAACTACAAAGTGCACCTATATAGTAAGTGGAGCTGATAAAATGGACAATGAGCGTAGAAACAAGGAGGTGGTCATAATGTTATGCCTGATCGGTGTAATAACATTATAGCTCTGCAGGATGCAGCATCATTTCAGCTCTAACATTTTAAGATGTTAGTTCACTAGACGAGCTCTGTGTGAACAGTTTCCAGGCAGCTATGTTTACAAAATGAACTGTATTTTAATTTAATTAACCAGTTGTATGTAGCTGTGACTGGACAAGCTGCCGAATGTCCAGTAGTTTTTTTAAGTAGTTGCTAAATACTTCTAATTAACAGAAACTGATAGGGCTTAGAATAACACAGGACGAGCTTTAGCGATGTTTTTAGTGATGACAGACTATGACACTTTCTATTCACCAGCTTCTTAACTGAATTTTCCGCTCGGATTGCACCGCGTCAAAATACCTGAGGGCTGAACTTTTATTCACAAATGATTCACAATATTAAATTTTCAAAAAATCAGTGCACAGAATCAGAGCTTCCTGTGAGCTGCCGTGTTTCCTATCACTGTGTAAAAGATGCACAAGGCTTCTTTAATTCTTGGATTATTCATTCAGAACAGTTTGGATCGACAGGCACTTATAACAAATAATTACACTGTTTAAGAATAACAATAAACATGTCTAATATATTAATTATACTTATTTTAAAGTGTTTACTTTCTGCAAAAATGTAATTTGTGAGACAAACTAAACAAAAATCTATAAATTTTTGGTTTTGTTAGATAACGTTCTTTACATATCAAATAAAAACAGCGACCACATGCAGAAATTACTTTATTAACCTCTTACTGACCAGGGTATGTTTTGTTTTTTTCATCTGAATTTACATGACCAAATCATAACGCAAATTATTCAGTAACTGCATGAAATAAATGTCAATTTTTATTTTATTTACTTATTTATTTTTTGTAAAAGCTCCCCTCAGATTAACAGAACGTGTTTCATGATCATACACATATTGCTATATGCTTACAATTTACTGCTGAAAGCCAAACATCTTAGACGCTCTTTGTATTATTTTATAAAAATAATGTTTACAGAGCAGATCACTGAAGAGACGCCATCTGTTTACAGTTTATAGCCCAGATTTGTGGAAAAATGGGTCGACTTTCAGTAGAAAAAATTGTGAGTTCAGCTTCTTTTATTATAAGGGTTTAAAATGACATCACCCATCTATTTGACTGGAAAGAAGACAGTTACAGCTCTCATATGACCCCCACCTTCTGAATGTAGCTTATGAAATATGAAAGTTACGAAGAATATGACAAAGTGCGTTTTGGAACCACCGGTGGTCTTAAGGAGTTGAAGAGGTTAAACAAGACAAGCAGAATAAACAGCATAAATAGCCATTATTGTTCCGCTGTAAGGGGTTAATATTTACTGAACTGCTGAATTTCCTCTGATAAGAAGTTTTCCATCTCAGTTACCACAGTGTGGCACATTGCACTGTCACTTTATAGCACTACTGCCACCATCAGGTGAAAGGAAGAACTGCAGTGTACTGGCTGGCGGGCCACTAATTACACACCCTAAAACAGAAGACATGGGCTGATTAAAATCTAGCTGCGGGTCGCATTCGGCTCTGGGGCCGGACTTTGGACACCCCTGCTGTAAGCAGCTAACTTCATCCATCTACTCACCATTCTGCTGCCTCAACACCAGCATGTTTCCTTTTCAGGAGCTCTAAGGTAATGTAGCAATATAGGCAATGTAATGGCTTTTGAGCCCTGTTTTTACTGCAGGATGAGAGAGTTTCTAGTGGGTTGTATTTTCTACACACCCAACATTATTTTTATAAAACCAAAAGCTGTTGGCATTGTGTACAATATGAATATAAAGTAAGGTTTTATACTGTAGATGCCATTATAATCACCTCTGAAATAAGCCTTGCTTTTCTGATTGACTTTAGTTTTTTCTCCTCTTTATAATGAGTAACACTTTATTTGGATAGTCCACTTTAGATGCTTTGTAGATACTTAATTCACTTTCAAGTTACATTCAACTAAATATCTACTAAACTGAGCCTTATTTTCTTTAAGTGCACATTCATGTAACGTATCCCCAGATTTAACAAAGGTGTGCAAGACCAGAACAGTGCAGATGTGAGGGTCTTTTCCTCTTTTACTTCTTGTTCCCCTCTGATTGCTTAAAAATAATATTAATACATTTAGTCAACTACGGTAGTCAAAAAAGCTCAAAGGCAACAAGACATGATATGTTAGCACAGCTGTTGATTTCTGACACTAGTTCATGAATACACTACCCCTGAAAATCCCAGTCTTGTGACATACTAAGGCTTATTATTCATTAACTACAGGGACTTGTTGAAAACTGGTTGAGCTACTCTTAGGTCATAGAAGTGCGTAATAAAACTTTGGACCCACCGGTGGGCCCTGGCCATTTAAGGGGTCAACTCTAGACCTGGCTCTAATCCTAACCTTAACCTTAACCTCAACCCAAAATCTAACCCTGGTCCAAATCCTAACCTTAACCCCACCACTGTTTAGAATCAACAGATAGTTTGTTAACAATTTGAACATCTGTAGATAATCTATAGGGGACTATAGTGGACTATCTAAATAAAGTGAGACCTTGTAACGCCCTTCCAGTGTAAAGCGGACAGAGACAAAGTTCTACCACCCAGACCGAGTAAATGGAAGAAAGACTCTTTCGAAGCCTCTATAGTTTTGCGATTAACATGAATGGTGTGGTAGGTGGGAAGCAGTGGTCATCTGTCAGGAACATCACAGAGATGTGTATCTATACAGGACTGAAATAACCAGACCACCGCTGAGCTGGGTGAAAAACGGTAGGTAATTCAACCTGGAATTTTCTCAGGGATGGCAGATGGCAATAAAATCACAAAGTAGCACTTCTAAAAAAGGAAGTTAATCCAGAATCCCACGTCAATTCAATCATGACCGAATCAGGGTATAGACCAGGTTCAGTTGGGGAAGCAGTGGTGTACACCCTTTAAGGTTAAGTGTCAGTAATCTTAAAGGGTGTACACCACTGCTTCCCCAACTGAACCTGCTGTAACATGACGAAAAGAAAGAAATATACAAGCAAACAAGATGTTCTACGCTGCAAAATTCTACATACAGACCTTATCTTGTCATATAACTCAAGAAAATGTTGGAAGGGACAGTGTATGTTACCGTATAAAGGCAAAAAGGAAACTACCTCAACATTTCTGAGTAACATACACCTAGAAAGTCTGGTGTTGGTTCTTCATTCACAGAACACAGTAAGAGTGCTGATGTACGATCTATTTTAATGACCAATATCACCATAATCCTGGCTCAGCACTCCACACTCCGCTATGCTCTGTGAACACTGGCTGTGAACGACTTTCTATAAGAGAAAACTCTCTTTTTTGGTCCCCGTCCACCTTGAAGCCATTAGAGGTTTTTGATTTCCTGGTTTTGCGGGTTGGGAAAGAGGGTCAGAAAAAGTGCCTGGCCCCCTTGACCACAGCAGCCGGCAGCTCTGCGGCGTCCAGGTGTGTCGGTTACACGTCTCTGACGTAAAAGGGAAGCCCTGAGACTCCTGGAGCGCTCGCTTAGGTTACCTCGGACTAACGGGAAACCACAGTTACCTCAGGAGCTGATTGATTCGGCCCCGGCCGAGGCACTCGTTAACCGTGGCCGAGGAAAGGAAAAAGGCCTCAGTCGCTGATTGGATTTCCACGTTTAACCAATTACTGAGGGAAACGGGGGCCGGCGGGCGGTTCGCACTTACGCAGAGCAGCGGCAGGGCGTGTTGTGCTTAGGGTCGGGTTTCGCGTTGGAAAACGTGGTCAGGACTTTCTGCACCATTAACAGAGAACAGAACACAATCGGGCGCACAGGCGCACACATGCATAGGCTTTGACTGACCTGCAAGTGTGATCATCACTGACCGATGCTATTTGCTTTCCTTCTGTGGGCTCAAACACTACATGATTGATGTAGCTGGTGTGTCCCTCCATCACCTAGGCAACAGAGGAAACAGGAAAATCACACACACATATGTACAGTTGCCCTATAGGGAAAGAGCACTTACAAGCCCTCACTTACTACTGTGGACAAATTGGCACTGACAAGAGAATACGTACAGACGCATGCAAAAGTTTGGACACCCTCAGTCAAATGACATGTTTTGTTGATTCTATAAGTTAAAGTAAGTTAACACGTCCTCTACAGAGAGCAAACTTAAATATAGTGTTTTCTTCCTGCAAATTTTAGTGCGCAATTTCAATTAATTTAATATTAAAAGAAATAAAAAATGAAATATACGCCATAACTTTGGCAAAGACCAGATTTTACATTGTTTTTGTTAAATTTGGCAAACAAACAGTAATTTTGCATTAAAATGTGCAGAAGTGTCATCAACATTAACACAAAGGTAATGGGGGGTGGTGGAGATCTGTCTTCATTTTACTGCATTTGCAACCCACTACAAATAAATACTCTGTTTCTCTTCTAAGCTATTCCATGTGCATGTAGTCTCATCTTATGCATTTCATCAATGTTTATGGATTGGCATCAGCATTTATGTACATGAAAAATATTGGATATTGGCATCGGCCCAAATTTCCGACATCGGTGCATCCTTATCGAATATTCTACTGGAAGTTATTACAACACTTGAATATTACATAAGAATAAGCAAAAGTTCAAGACTTGTCTCACTTTAATGATAGATATTTTTCATTCTTACTGTTTAGTACCATTTTTCTACTATTAATATTATTACAATTTATTATTACTATAACTACTGTACTGCTTCTTTGTATACATTTTGATGAAATACTACAAGGGGAAAGGACCTGCCCCAGGTGGAGGAGTTTAAGTATCTCGGGGTCTTGCTCACGAGTGATGGGAAGACGGATGGCGAAATCGGCCGCAAGCTGGGACAGGCAGCAGCCGTAATGCGGTCATTGTACTGGACTGTAGTGGTGAAGAGGAGTTTGTTTACTGCTTGGTCTACATCCCAACCCTCACCTGTGGTCATGAGCTTTGGGTAATGACCGAAAGAATGAGGTCACAGATACAAGCGTCGGAAATGAGCTTTCTTTCTCAGGGTGGCGGCTACACTCTACTGACAGGGTGAGGAGCTCAGTCATCTGGGAGAAGCTCAAAAGAGAGCCGGTGCTCCTCCACATTGAGAGGAGTCAGTTGAGGTGGTTCAGTCATCTGATCAGGAAGCCCCGAGTGGAGGTTTTCCAGGCACGGCCTATTGGGATTACACCCCAAGGTTGTCCTAGGACCTGCTGGAGGGATTATATCTCCAAGTCCGCCTGGGAGCAGCTCAGGATCCCCTAGAATGAGCTTGAGGAAGTTGCGGGGGACAAGATCATCTGGCATTCTCTGCTTTCCCTACTGCTGCTATGACCCTAACTGGATTAAGCGGTTTAAGATTGAATGAATGAAGGAACGAACGAACTACAAGGTAATGGAAAAACATTATTGATAAACAACAATATTCAAAGCAAAAATGCTAATCTGGGGGATCCGACCCAATCTGGCTAGACTTGCTTGCTCTGACAGGAAGAGTTAATTTGACAGACATTAAAAAGACCACAAATCAATATTTTTCACGGCGTACAGGCAAATTCTGCTGTTCTCTTAGATTGCATGCTACTGTGGACTAGCTAGCATTTAGCTTGATAAACAAATCTTGAGAAACAAAACAAAATAAACAAAAAAGCTTAAGAAAGATGAAATATATTGGAGCTTCCCCTAAACATTCTGCTCGAGTACAGCAAAAACGTCCTCAACTATATATCAATCTATATATCAATGCCAGTGTTTCTTTTTAAGCTGTTGATACTGATCTGATTCCAATATTACTGTGCAACCTAATAAACAAGCATAAAATACAAATAGGGTGGGAGGTGTTATTGGATTTTTTGGCCTAAATAATGTTCTAAGGGTGTCAACAAGTTTTGGCTGCTTACCGATTTTGAGAAAGATAAAGTTATTCGAAAGCATCTGTGAACCGTCTGGAATTATCTGGATTTCTAAAAATGGGATCCCAGCTTCAAGTCAGAACAAATAACGACATTCGTTTTGTCCGTTTCAATCATTCTGCAGTTGACGTACTTCTGCATGTTGGACTGTCATGTTGAATGACCCAACTTGAGGGATACAACTTGAGGAGGGAATTGGTCCTTCAGTGGTTGCAAGCCGTCCAGGCCCTGAGGCAGCAAAGAAGCCCCACGCCATTACGCTCCTTGCACCATGCTCCACAGCTGGGATGAGGTGTTGGTGTTGGTATGCAGTGCTCTGTTTTCTCCATGCTGTAGATGTACTGGAAAGTACAAGTTTTCTCTCATCTGTCCTCCAGTAGTGTAGGACACCCACTTTGGTGTTTAGCAATCTTGAAATGCTTTTTGTTGGACAGTAGTGGGTTCTTCTGTGGTAACCTCTCCTGAACGTAAGTCTTAAGGCAGGTTTTCTTTCTATTCAAGTCAGAGCTGAAGACCTGATTTCACTCATTTATTCAATTAGTCTCAGTCTTCAAACAATCAGATGCACTCCTACTTGGTTGGAATGAAAACCTGCAGGCACATTGGCCCTTTGTGGAGGAGACTGGACTCATGAATGCATGAATGAAGTAAAAGAACATCCTTAGCGGTCAGTATTGGGTTCTTTGTTCCTTGTTGGATTATTCTAGTGAAGGCCCTTGCACTGACCTTTGTTGGACACTCATTTCTAGAAAGAGTAGCAGTGATGTTGAATTCCTTCCATTTCTAAACCATCAGCCTGACTGTGGACAGATAGAAGACCAAGGCTCAATCCCATTTCTTCTTTTTACCCCAACCCCTTGTTTTCGAGTGTCACCCTAACCCCTTGGAACTGAGTTACAAGGGGTAGTGGTTGAAATCTTGCCCTACGAAATGGGAAAACCCTCAACCCATTTAGCTCTTAGCCCTCTGTTTTGCCCATTCATGTCTAGGGGTAGGGTGTCCCAATTCTTGTTGAGATAGAGGGGTAGGGCGAAGTGTTGGGGCTACATGGCCCTCCAAACGGAGGGTTTTCAGAGACTCCAAACAGAGAGCTATGAGGAAAAAAAGAAAAACCAGCAAGATGGAGCACAAGAGACCAAAGAAACACACAAATGTGAGAATTTTTTCCGTTAAAAATTACGATAATCACTGTCGTTTCAGTGTATTATGGTCGTTTTCTTCATAACAAGCATGAAAAAAAAAAATCGCTTATAGCATGCTAATGTCTCAGTAGCTAGCTAGCTAACTTTCCCGTTCCACCTTAAATAGTCCATCAGTTTTGACGCCTGAAGTGCCAGAATGTAACTGCTGCATCATTTAAGGTGGAACGGGAAAATTCGAACAAGAAGCTGGAGAATATCTGACTTCAGCTTCATATCACTGAAGAATTAGTGGTGGGTGATAATAAATATTTGCCCCCCCTCTTTGAAGGCATATGCTGTCCTAAATGTAACTAAAGCCCAGCAGTGAGGAGCTGAACTTTACCCTCCTCTGCTGTCACTGCAGACCGGCAGGGTCGCCTACAGAGCAGCGCTGGTAGCTGTTAATGAAGTAATGCTTTTTTTATTTGAGGGTCCTATTTCAGAGGGAAGATTTCAACCACTACCCCTTGTAACTCAGTTCCAAGGGGTTAGGGTGACACTCGAAAACAAGGGGTAGGGGTAAAAAGACGAAATGGAATTGGGGCTAAAACGCATAATTGTCATGCATCCCATACTCTGAGGAAATGCAAATACGTTACCTTAACTTCATGTCGGTTCTGAAGATCTGAAGTAAACAGCTTTAGCTTTCTGTCAGCTGCAGCAGTGCAAAACCTGGGACACAAAGGAAAACAATAATCAGCACATCTGCTAGATCGAGATAGATAATCATTTTATATATAAAACAGAACAAAAACACATCAAAATAAACATATGCATTGTAAGTCCACAAAGACCATGGCACTAATCAATATGTAAACAGGCCCACGGACAAAAAATGTCATCCTAACCTGATAATCTGGGGTAGTTTGTCCAACCTGGACTCTGGACTCCATGCAAGGGCATCAACACGAACGCCATGCACAAAGACACGTAGAGTGTTGAATTCTACTCCTTCTATGTCCGTATTTTCCTCCTGCAGAGACAAACAGTTACTCACTGACTCAGGCACAAAGGGCCTGTTTACACCTTGCATTATAATGTGTTCATACTGATTGGATAATGCCCAGATTTCACTTGACCACATGGTAAACCAGGATGCATTGAGAGTGTATTACAACTGGATCATTCAAACCACATTTGGAGCTGGTCAGAGACGGATCATGACAACATTGAACACTAGAGTAAACGTAATGAACGGAATTCTTTATCCATACACAGTAACGTGAGTGGAAATATAACAGCCGACTAGCAGGTGAGAGAATAAACAACAAAATGAAAGATGGAAGGCCAAGCTGGAGTTTTTATTTTGCATGAAAAGTACAAATGAGTCTCATCTATTCACACTGGGGACACATTTTAAAAGAGTGAATGGTAAAAGTAAAAATTTATCCAGATTCAATCCATACACGTCAACAGCCACATTTACATGCAGCCTAATAATCCAATTAGTAGCTCAATCGGAATAGAATTCGTCCATGTAAACATCTCAATCAGAACAGTCTAGTCCGATTGAGGCCATTCGGAATACAGTCTCTATCCGATTGAACGAGGTGGGTAATCCTGTAAATAATCCATTAAATAGAAGAATAATATCCGTGTAAACGCCTGTATCTGATTACATTCCCTATCGGAAAGTTTAAGTCCGTTCTGATCATGTTCGTCACGTCACAGTGAAAGTTTATACCGTTCAACATGGCGGAGCAGAAACTGGTCTGCAGAGGAGACGAAGTTTATGCTCTGATCTTTAAAAGACGGCGGTGGGACGGACGTCCAGCTTATGTGTCTCAGAACACGACGTCTTCCTTTTACTGCTTCCATAACACATGAAATACGTGTTTCTGCCATAATTTTTAAGCAATTAAAAACACAACTTGAAAACTCGTCTCACTCTGACTGGACTTCATGTGATGTTCGTTGTCATGGTAACATTTACACTAAGCGGTTCTCTATGCATGCGTGTCAATTTGGATCAGATGACTCATAGTGAGCATATAAACAGAGATTTTCCAACAGATTGTTGAGTAGAGTGAGAATAAACACCTCAGTCTTAATCTATAATCGGAATGTATTCAATCGGGTTGGCAAAAATCTTTGCGTGTAAAGACAGCCAATGCAAGGTGTACAGTAGAGGCTAATGTACCACAGTGGAAATAGAAGATTTTGTCTTTGATATTGTCCTATGAGGGTTATAAAATCAAAAAATTACAGTTCTAAGACACAGAATGAAACGTGGATTGGTCACAGCTCATCAATATTCAATCTACTTAATAAAGTCCGGATTGGTGCCACTACCAATGCAGTATACTAGATCAGTGCATCAGTAATTGTAACTCTACAAGGTGGTTCAAAAAGATTCATCCGCGCCATATTTTTACAACCGTGAGGCGCCTAGGAACCAATCACAATCCAATTGAAAGACGGGGTCATAGAGTTTCTGACTGTCAGTGGAAGAAGACTCCCTTCAGTCTGTGAGGAGATGGAGACCCCTGAGCAGAAAGCGTTCTGCGTTCTCCACTTCAATAAGAGTGAATCCGTCATAACTGTGCAGCGTGATTTTTGTCAGCAGCTCAGAGCGTTCTTCGTTGGTTCCACAACACTGGATGATCTCCGAAATCGCACAGAAAAAGCCGTGAGTGCAGCGACACCTGACATGCTCAATCGAGTATGGGATGAGTTTGACTATGGCGTTGATGTTGTCCGTACAGCTGGAGGAGGTTCATACTGAGACCTTGTAAAATTACATAATGAACTTTATGCTCATTTAAACCATTTACAGTTCACTGCATTGTTCTGTAATGATTTTTTGAATCACGCTGTATTACAGTCTGATATAATTATAAAGCGTGGCTCAAAAAAAAAACCTTGAGTGAGCTTTCCTGCTTTAATGAACTATTTTCTCACCGGTCTGACATGAAGAACAGCACTTTTTATGTGTAAGTGCACACATATCAACGCTGGACTCACCTTAAAACGACAGGTGCCCACCACTACATACTGGTTTCCCCCATAAGCCAGAAGAGAAGCTGCAGAGCCACAGTCATATGGGCTGAACTCCACTACATGGACGTAGTCCTCACAGGGCACCGTGTAGGTGGCAGAGCGACTTGCATCTTCCTGCATTCTGCGACGACACTAGTGTCACTTTTCTACCTGCATTATGACAAAGAAAAGAGACGAATGGTGGAAAAATGAACAAAAGCACAAAAAACTATGAAAAAAATAACCAGAGCAGGGGTGTCCGATCTTATCCGCAGTTGGGTTTTCACTCCAACATAGCAGGAGGTCACCTGGTGAAACGTTTGAAGACTAAGACAAACTGATTAAACAAGTAGAATCAGGTGGGCTTCAGCTTGTTTGGAGTGAAAAACCTGCAGCCACACCAGCACTTTGCGGATAAGATTGGACACGCCTGTGTCCGTGTGATGATATTAATACGTTTATTTTGGTTTATCAAGGTGTTTACACCCATAAACATTAAAGAGAAAAAAAAAAATAATAAGTAACACAAAAATAAAAGGAAAAATTATAGTTATAAAATTAATGGATATAATAATCGATACAAAAACAAGTACTGACCGAAAAGGTGTGGTCTGAAGCTATAGCTTATTTTGACTACTCTTTATAATCATACACAATCCTGCAATCAAACAATACAGAGTAATATCAAAACAGAAAGAAAATCAACATTTCGAACATTTCATACATCATAATGATCATTCCTCAGTTTTATAAGTGCTTACCACCTTATTCTTAAACATTTTTTTAACTGATATCCTAAATGACAGACGTTATCTTATTCTAAATCATCATTAATTTAAGCTGCTTAAAAACCTAGAGAAATAACTCCTTGTGCACAAGAGTCTGGAATCAAAAGGGAATTCTGCTGATTTTCCAAAATTTCTGTGCAATTCAGTCACTGGGATGCAAACCAAGCCACTCAGAGTGGTTTGATGTGAAATGGTAGAGAAACTTACCAACTCTGGTTGTCTTTACAGTGGTGGTAATAGGAACCAGAGTGGCTACAACACAAATATAACCATTTTATTCGCTATCCAAAGCCACCAGTGAACCTACAAGTGTCTTCACAGTTTTTATATATGATGATGATGGTGGTAGTGGTAAAATAGTGATAAATCTGGGAAAAAAAGGTTTATTTTGGGATTACTTTGCCTTTCAACACCTAAGGCCAAAATCTCGTCGCAGAACTACAGTAAAGCAAAGTCTCAGACAACAGGCAGTGAATTTATAACCGTTACATGTAGTAACTTTATGTGAGGGAGCTTTTAGAGTTGAACGTATGGTTCCTATCACCACCACTGTGAATGACTCTGCCTAATCATTTGTGTAAAATTTTAGAAAAATCAGTGGAGTTCCCCTTTAAGAAGCTGACAGAGTATATGAAAACAATGTCAACAAGCCAGTACCGTTGAGTAAATCTGGAGCGAAGAGGAAAATCTGTAGATAAATGACTAAAATGACAGGTTTGGCTTCTTTACTGACTCCTCCTGAGAGCACGCCGGGTTAGCATCTTCAGCATTAGCATTAGCTACGGACGCATTGGTGCTTATTTCAGCCCGAGACCGCGAGGTTAACCTAGAGTAACCCCCAAATAAATCAGACGATATGCTAACCTACGTTAATCTGATATTGTCGTCGCTGATTTAAGCGAACAAAGGATTAAATTTGCGTTAAATATTATAGTTAAATCCACCGCTGCTTCCACGTTCAGACTGTTTTATTGTTTACATCCGGGTGGTTGTACAATTTTCCCGCTTATAACTGGAGGATGCGTTTTCTGCGCACTTCCGCTGACCTACAAGTCATGACGTACTGCACTGGGTGTTGAGCATGATGTGTAGATCGCGGACAATGCCTAAACGATATACTCAGATGAACTACACCGATCAGGCATAAGGTTATGACCACCTCCTTGTTTCTACGCTCATTGTCCATTTTATCAGCTCCACTTACTATATAGGTGCACTTTGTAGTTCTACAGTTACAGACTGTAGTCCATCTGTTTCTCTGCATACTTTGTTAGCCCCCTTTTACCCTGTTCTTCAGTGGTCAGGACCCCCATTGACCCTCACAGAGCAGGGTCATTTGGGTGGTGGGTCATTCTCAGCACTGCAGTGACACTGATGTGGTGGTGGTGTGTTAGTGTATGTTGTGCAGGTACGAGTGGATCAGACACAGCAGTGCTGCTGGAGTTTTTAAACACTGTGTCCACTCACTGTCCACTCTATCAGACACTCCTACCTTGTCAGTCCACCTTGTAGATGTAAAGTCAGAGACGATAGCTCATCTGCTGCTGCACAGTTTGTGTTGGTCATCAGTCCTTCATCAGTGGTCACAGGACGCTGCCCACAGGACGCTGTTGGCTAGATATTTTTGGTTGGTGGACTATTCTCAGTCCAGCAGTGACACTGAGGTGTTTAAAAACTCCAGCAGCACTGCTGAGTCTGATCCACTCAGACCAGTGCAACACACACTAACACACCACCACCACATCAGTGTCACTGCTGAGAATGATCCAAATAGTACCTGCTCTGTGAGGGTCCATGGGGGTCCTGACCACTGAAGAACAGGGTAAAAGGGGGCTAACAAAGTATCAGAGAAACAGATGGACTACAGTCTGTAACTGTAGAACTACAAAGTGCACCTATACAGTAAGTGGAGCTGATAAAAGGGACAGTGAGCGTAGAAACAAGGAGGTGGTCATAAAGTTATGCCTGATTGGTGTATTATGAACTGTTATATGCCAGTATAAGCTGCAGCCTATCTCTCAAACTTACTTCAGATCTCTTTTTATTTCTAGAGTTTCTGTGTACCTGTTCATTAAAGAGGAATTCTTTATGTGTATAAGATAACAATTATGTGGTTAAGATGTAAACAGAGTCATTCAGAGTGGTTTGGTGTGAAATACTCTCTTCTAGAGAAACTTACAGAGTCAGAATTGTTCACAGTGGTGGTGATAGGAACCAGACGTCCACCTCTAAATACTCCCTCACAGAAAGTTATTACATGAATTGGTTAGATATATACGCTGCCTGATGTCCTTGTCTGGAATATTGTCTTATGATAGTTTTGTGATACATTTTTGGCTTAAAATGTATTTTAATCCATTTATTTGAATCTGTTCATGGTGGAGGGTTACATGAAGGGCATTATAAGGCAAAATAGTCCCAAAAGAAAACATTTTACCATTATCAACATTGTACATAAAAAAACACTCAGAAGACGTGTAGGTTCACTGGCGGTTTTGGATAGTAAATAAACCGGCTATATTTGTGTTGTAATCATCGCGACCCCTGATTCCTATCAATCAATCAACCTTTATTTAAACTCGGAGTACGTTCATGGAGCCCCTCATTTCCAGTCTAGTAATCAGAAGTTTAAAGAATAGGATCAGTGAAAAAAAAAAATAGATTGTAAACAAAAAAAGTAAAATAAAATTAGCAGTGAAATTAAATGGAATATATAAAATATATAATAATAATAATAATAATAATAATAATTTTATTTATATAGCACTTTTCATGCCGGTGGCAGCTCAAAGTGCTTTACAAACAGGTGATAAAACATAATTATAGAAAAGATCATTAGTACTTAATTGAAGATTGAAAATGAAGAAGATTAAATTACAAGATAAACACCATGAGACATTCAGTTTTAGTTAAATGCTACTTTAAAGAGATACATTTTTAGGTGCTTCTTAAAAGTGAGCACTGAGCTTGACTGTCTAGTAAAAATAAAATAGCATAATAAATGACAAATCAAATAGGGTCAAAATAAGAGAATAATTCATAATAAAATAAATTTAAAAAATGGAAAATGGAAAACAACAAGCAAGAAATAACTAAAAAGTGAATGTTGATAGGAAATTAAAAAAAAAAAAAGTAAATAACTACCACTGTGAAGAAAGATCAGTCTATTGGTTTCTCTGCAATGAACCACTTCAGACCAAACCACTCGGAACGAGTCTGTTTACATTTCAAGGACTGCAATTTTGAAAAATGGGTGGAGTTCCCCTTTATGCAAGGAAGAAGCGGACGCTCGAATTGAGGTTTAGCTGAGAGGCAGAGGGGCGGGGCTAGAATGGGAACTTTGAATCTGATTGGTTCATTCGTGCGTTGCTGTAGATTTAAATTTTGAGACGGCGTTTGTGCTGAAACAGCTGCTGACAGCACAGAGGCACAGAGGCGCTGTGTGTAACCTTGTTAGGGTTTGATATAAACCGCAAAATATCCCTGAAATCACACTGGTGGTAAGTTTTCCTGCAGCCTAACTCACGTAGACCGTCTGTCATGTTTTAAACTCCTCATCTAGCATCAAATTCCTGTCTTAACTGTATGTGTATCACTGGTATTTCATAATACGGTTTATCTTTTGCTCATTAGTTAAAGGGGAACTACACCGATTTTCCAAATTGTCTGCATAGTTCAGCTGTTGAGATGTAAACAGTGAGAAATTCGGAGTGGTTTGGTGTGAAATGGTTCAGGTGTCTTTACAGTGGTGGTGATAGGAACCAGGGGTCGCCATGACTACAACACAGATATAGACATTTTATTTACTATCCAAAACCACCAGTGAACCTACATGTGTCTTCTGAGCTTTATATGTAATGCTGATTATGATAGAATATTGGTAAGTATGAAAAAACAATTTTTTGGGGGGACTATTTTCACCTTAGAACACCCTTAATGTATCCTTCCACCATGAGTTGAATTAAAATAAATGGATTGATAACTTTATCCCAAAACTACTGTAAAAACAGTGTCTCAGACACCAGGCAGTGAATTCATAACCATTTAATGTAATAACTTTCTGTGAGGGAGCTTTTGGAGGTGGACGTCTGGTTCCTATCACCACCACTGTGATCAATTCTGACTCGGTAAGTTTCTCTAGAACGGAGTGTTTCACACCAAACCACTCTGAATGACTCTGTTTACATCTCGACCATTTAATTATGCAGAAATTTCAAAATATCAGTGGAGTTCCCCTTCAATAAGCCCAGCTTCTAACTTTTCTGATGTGTCACATTTGTAAACAAAGGACAATGGGAACAAAGAGGACCATGGAGGGAAGCCTGAAAACAGTGGTCAGAGTCTTCCGAAGAGAGTGTCACCGGCTTCTCGACTCTGAGAGGACCACCATTCACGGGACAGATGATATGCTGATGGTCCTACGGCTGGCCGCTGCTGAAGTCTGCAAACAGGTAACATTAACGTAATGAAACTCCTGTGTGATCTTGTCACACTGAGACAGAACCATTTGCGTGTTAGTTGATTTGTGAGTTTGGTGACAAAATGATTTAGTTTACTGTTCATACTCACAAACCAACTTATAAGACAATACACGACCAGCCTATTCAGTAAGACCACCTCCTTGTTTCTGCGCTCATTGTCCATTTGATCAGCTCCACTTACTATATAGGTGCACTTTGTAGTTCTACAGTTACAGACTGTAGTCCATCTGTTTCTCTGCATACTTTGTTACCCTGTTCTTCAGTGGTCAGGACCCCCATGGACCCCCACGGAGCAGGTACTATTTGGGTGGTGGATCATTCTCAGCACTGCAGTAATATTTATTTTGTCAAACATCTGATCAGCTGTAACAGAGAAAAAAGAACCAGAAGCTACATTTAACAAGAAAATACTATGAAAACTATGAATACAATTATCTTTATTTAGTATTTCACCTACTCTGTTTTGGTAAAATGCAGTTAAACGGGACTAATGTGCTCTGTTTATAATGAAACATGCAGTTGTTCAGTGTTCAAGTATGGACAATATGCACTATGTGTTCAGGAAAGCATATTGTACTGTATTGTGAGAATTTTATCATGATAATGATATATATATAGTCATGTTGCCCAGCCCCACTGTGTCCACTCACTGTCCACTCTAATAGACACTCCTACCTTGACAGTCCACCTTGTAGATGTAAAGTCAGAGACGATAGCTCATCTGCTGCTGCACAGTTTGTGTTGGTCATCCTCTAGTCCTTCATCAGTGGTCGCAGGATGCTGCCCGCAGGACACTGTTGGCTGGATGTTTTTGGTTGGTGGACTATTCTAAGTCCAGCAGTGACACTGAGGTGCTTAAACTCCAGCAGCACTGCTGTGTCTGATCCACTCATACCAGCACAACACACACTAACACACCACCACTACATCAGTGTTACTGCAGTGCTGAGAATGATCCACCACCCAAATAGTACCTGCTCTGTGAGGGTCCATGGGGATCCTGACCACTGAAGAACAGGGTAAAAGGGGGCTAACAAAGTATGCAGAGAAACAGATGGACTACAGTCTGTAACTGTAGAACTACAAAGTGCACCTATATAGTAAGTGGAGCTGATAAAATGGACAATCAGTGTGGATTCAAGGAGGTGGTTTTATTGAATTCGCTCGTCAGTGTAGGTCTCAATTGTAGATAGTGCCACCATCTCACCTGTATACTGCTGGCAATCAGAAGCCAGTTGGTCTTAACTAAGGTACTATGTTAAGAACCCAGGGATGGATTACTGACTGGGCTGGTACCAAGGGGTCTTTAGATAACACACTCCTCGGGTGTTCTATTGTTTTTGTACAGCAGTTAAATAAATAAAGTAATAAATTAATAAACTGGGCCGTGAACGCGGCGTTTAATATGTTTTAATGTTCGCAGTTCCTTCACCAAATTATAGTTCCTTAACGAGCAGCTTGTTGCTACATCAGAGTAACAAACTCCGCCCACTCGCTGCACAGCCGGCAGTTCGTTCTCCAGCTCCTCACACTAAATTCCCAAACTGTCATCACCACTGAGCAGCTTTTCAGAAATTAACCCAATACCATTCGCCAAACGTGTAGTCTGATCTTCAGAGTCTGACCAAATCAGACTGAGCCATAAAACTGACACAATATCAAGTTTAGCTCAGTTTTGTCAGTTTTTGCCAGATCAATATTAATGTTGTTTTGTTCCAGCCAGTCTGTAAAGCATCTTACAGCCCGTTTAGTTTGGCGAATGGTGTTGGGTTCATTTCTGGCTGATTCCAGGTTGTTTAGCTGTTCTTCTGTCTCAGCTGCCGACTGAAAAGCTGCTCAGTGGTGATGACAGTTTGGGAATTTAGTGTGGTCTCATCTTCAGAGTCTGACCAAATCCGCTGTTGGTCAAATGTGATCTTTATCCATTTTCTGTTTGTGGCAAAGTAAGAAGTAAAAACGTTCAGATGGCTTGAGCGTCTCCTACAGCTGTCAAAGTCGTTGCTTAGCAACAGCGTCTCAGCGGAGTGATAGTGTTTGTGAAAAAAACGTGCTGTTATGGTGAAATAACAGCACAGTTAGAACGCTTCTCAACCAATCAGCTTGTGTGGCCGGAACTAACTTGTATAAAATAGAATATTGCATATGAATAAGGCTAATTTTGTTTAGATTTGAAACAAAAGCAAAACAAACAGATGTGAACTTTTGCCCATTATATCGCTGCTGTCAGAAGAAAACCTCATATCTCCATTTTTGTAATCATAATTTGAAAATGCATGTTGCTCTTTGCATTGTGTGTAAATTTCGTGGTGAATGGACTAAAATAAATGGCCCAAAATGACTAGGAAAAAATTCTGGTTCCATTGACTTACATTAAAAGTAAAGAAGGTTTTTGCTTTTCCTGTAAAGTTACCATTTTGGACATGCAAAGTTTTCTTCCAGCACCAGTGATATACGTATGTATGTGTTATTGTTAGACTTGGAGGGAGACAGGCAACCCAAAAAAAGATCCTTGTCCAGGGGCCCGGCAAAAATCCATCTCTGCTCAGAACAAGCAGTATTGAATAAACTACTGAATGACACTAATATTCTGTGTCTGACAGAGTTAGGGAACCTCTCTGATTGCACTAGTGAGCTTTATTCATCAACCCTGAACCTTTCAAAAAAAACTGTGGTACTCATGCATTAGTATTGGCTATAAATGGCTGATTCTACTGAACTGAATCAAACTCAGAACACATTTAACTGACTTGGACTGAAATTCCATTTTTTCACTACCAAAACAGTCATAACACCACCGAAACCTACCAAGTAGTGACCGTTTTGGTGGTGAATATTTTGTCTAATTTTGAGCCTAACTCAAAACTCTAGCCAGTACATGACTAGCAAACACAGCTTTGAACTGCTGTATACACGAGTATAATATGTCTATACAACACAAAGTTTACTTAATTGCATAAAATGTGTTTTCGTTAATAGTTAGCTATTAACGTTCCACACTGATTTTCAGATTTTTAGGACACATTTAGTTCAAAACAATGGGATCTACCTGCTCACCATGTGGCCATGAGGGACAGGAATGTACTTCCCACTCTAAAATGCAGGGGCGTGGCTAAAATAAGGCCCGCCTACAGACTAAAACTCTGTAGTGACAAAGTGTGGGACAGCATTTTTTTTTATTATTATTATTACATTTTTTTTTGTATTCATGATGAATCTAAATATTTTAAATCAGCTTCACTTTGAAAGAAATCATCAAAAAGATCTTACAATAACATTGGGGGAAAAAATGCCAAAAAAAATTTATTATTATTATTATTATTATTTTCACACGTGTAAATTTAGGGGTTTGTGTTTGAGGCAGCCACTTTCCAATAGAAAGTACCCTATAAATGATGAGTTTGTTTATATTTGGCTTATTACTATCTCTATTAATGCCTTGGTTTTAAATAGATCATAACATAATCCTTGTAAATATCTAAGCTCTGAATGCTTCCCTTGTTAACTGAAGGCTGTGGGATCCTGGAGATAAATGGGAGCTTTTAAATGTACAGCTGAACTGTAAAATTTTCCATTGCTTGGCCTGTAGTGTTCTTGCGTGTGATGCTTGTCTCTGCTTTTGCTCTAGGAAAGAGGAGACTTCAGTGTGGCTTTGAGCGACGTGCTGGTGGCTTGGAAATGCTTGCTTCTGGACAAGCTCCACCTGTCCCATGACGGCTCCCCCCTTTCAGAGAATTATGACCTCATCCGGAAAGAGTATGACAGCTTTTTGAAGCGCACCAACACGGTGGATCTGATCGACGTCTATAATATGTACAAGCAGTTGAGGCGAGATGAAGACCCAGAGGATCCCCTCACCGCAGTGAGTGCTGAGAGCAGTTCGTGGCGTCAGCAGGGGCCCCTGAGATTGGGTTCTGGCATTCATCTCAGCAGAGCATCATTTTACAAAATCTTTTATTCCTGGTATTGTTTTCGCACCTAGATGCAGCTGTTCGAGTTCCTGCATGGTAACACTGAGGCCTCCGAAGAAACTGAGCTGACCCCTCCATGTCCAGCCACTCCGTCCAACAGAGCTCGTCGCTGCAGCTCACAGGTAGGCTTTAGTGGAAGATTTACCTCTGCAGCTGCGCGATATGGATAAAATACTGTGCTGCAGTTCTCACTGCATATTCCACATCATTCTGGAATGGTAGTATTGGACTGGCCAGTATTGCGCTGACATTTAAAGGGCCCATATCATGGAAAAGCACTTTCTGTTTTAATAAAGGAGCTTGAAGTATTATATAAACACTTTTAAAGTTTCAAAACGTATTGTGTGCATCCTCATACACATACAATCCATATATGGAAAGCAAGGGGTAAAAACAGCCAATTTTAAAATTCTGTGATGTCAGAAAAGCAAACACAATTAAATACACCGGTCAGGCATGACATTATGACCACCTCCTTGTTTCTACACTCATTGTCCATTTTATCAGCTCCACTTACTATATAGGTGCACTTTGTAGTTCTACAGTTACAGACTGTAGTCCATCTGTTTCTCTGCAGACTTTGTTAGCCCCCTTTTACCCTGTTCTTCAGTGGTCAGGACCCCCATGGAACATTATTTCATTAACAGCTACTAGCGCTGCTCTGTAGGCGACCCTGCCAGTCTGCAGTGACAGCAGAGGAGGGTTCCTCTGTTCAGTTCAGCTCCTCACTGCTGGGCTTTAGTTACATTTAGCACATCCTATGCCTTCAAAGAGGGGGGCAGTTATTTATATCACCCACCCCTAATTCTTTGGTGATATGAAGCTGAAGTCAGATATTCGCCAGCTTCTTGTTCGAATTTTTCCGTTCCACCTTAAATGGTGCAGCAGTTACATTCTGGCGCTTCAGGCATCAGAACTGCTGGACTATTTAAGGTGGAACGGGAAATTGAACTAGCTAGCTACCGAGACATTAGCATACTATTAGTGTAATTTTTTTTTTATGCCGGTTATGAAGCAACCATAATACATTGAGACGAAATTAAACTAAGATAAAGCAGTGGTTATCGTAATTTTTTAACAGAGAAAATTCTCACATTTATGGGTTTCTTTGGTCTCTTGTTCAGCTGTCTTGCTGGTTTTTCTCTTTTTCTCATATCTCTCTGTTTGGAGTCTCTGAAAAACCTCCGTTTGGAGGGTCATGCAGCCCTAACACTTCGCTCTACCCCTCTATCTCAACAAGAATTGGGACACCCTACCCCTAGACATGAATGAGCCAAACAGAGGGCTAAGGGGTGGGGGCGAGGGGTGAAATGGAATTGGGCTGTGACTTTGCCTACGGTTGCGGCTCTTTGCCGTTTAACTCTGAGGAGAATGGCTTGTTCAAATTGTTAATTGGCATAATGTTGCACTGCAGAGGTGTTCTCTCCCCCCCCCTCTCCTGTTTCCCTGCTTGGCAGTCTCTGTCTCTGTCTCTCTCTCTCTCTCTCTCTCTGTCTCTCTCTGTCTCTCTCTGTCTCTCTCTCTCTCTCTCTCTCTCTCTCTCTCTCTCTCTCTCTCTCTCTCTCTCTCTCTCTCTCTCTCTCTCTCACATATTTCCCAGTGAATTCTGCGCTCACACACTCCAGTTCCCCCTCCAGGATCCTTCTCTCCCTTATTAACAGGAACATTAAATCATATCACTCAGATTTAAGAGAGAAATGTGAATTCAATTACCAAGCGGATGTTTTGAAAGTGCAGTACAATGTGAGCTGAGACTGGGGCTCAGTCTTGCCCAGTCACCACCCCCCCACAACCCAACCCACCCCACCCCCCCTTCTTCTAGCTCCTGTCAGCCTCAGATTTATGAGGGTAGATGCTGGATCTTGCTACTGTAAGTCTGAGGCTGAAGGTTATGAATTGGGCCTGTTAGAGGTGTTTAAGGCAAAAATAAGCTGCAGGGCTATACTATTCACTGAAGACCTAATTCACGCAAGCCGACACAGTCATAATAGAACGCAGCTGCTTACACCGATCAGGCATAACATTATGACCACCTCATTGTCCATTTTATCAGCTCCACTTACTATATAGGTGCACGTTGTAGTTCTACAGTTACAGACTGTAGTCCATCTGTTTCTCTGCATACTTTGTTAGCCCCCTTTTACCCTGTTCTTCAGTGGTCAGGACCCCCATGGACCCTCACAGAGCAGGTACTATTTGAGTGGTGGATCATTCTCAGCACTGCAGTAACACTGACGTGGTGGTGGTGTGTTAGTGTGTGTTGTGCTGGTACGAGTGGATCAGACACAGCAGTGCTGCATGAGTTTTTAAACACCTCAGTGTCACTGCTGGACTGAGAATAGTCCACCAACCAAAAATATCCAGCCAACAGCGTCCTGTGGGCAGCGTCCTGTGACCACTGATGAAGGACTAGAGGATGACCAACACAAACTGTGCAGCAGCAGATGAGCTATCGTCTCTGACTTTACATCTACAAGGTGGACTGTCAAGGTAGGAGTGTCTATTAGAGTGGACAGTGAGTGGACACAGTGTTTAAAAACTGCAGCAGCACTGCTGTGTCTGATCCACTCAGACCAGTATGACACACACTAACACACCACCACCACGTCAGTGTTACTGCAGTGCTGAGAATGATCCACCACCCAAATAATACCTGCTCTGTGAGGGTCCATGGGGGTCCTGACCACTGAAGAACAGGGTAAAAGGGGGCTAACAAAGTATCAGAGAAACAGATGGACTACAGTCTGTAACTGTAGAACTACAAAGTGCACCTATATAGTAAGTGGAGCTGATAAAATGGACAATGAGCGAAGAAACAAGGAGGTGGTAATTAATGTTATGCCTGATCAGTGTATACTCTTATTCCTTTATCATAAGCTACCTCCTTTTTTTGTGCTGTGTGCAATTTCAGATTCTGTGGCAAATGACAAATGATGAAATGATTTTGATTGTGCATACTTGGTGATCCATTAATGTGCGTCTCTCTTTCCTCAGGTGCAGAGAGTGGTCAAGAGGGTCTTTTGCTCATATTTAGGTTTGCTGGTGAACTCTAAGAACGACTTGGCCCTCGCACACACGCTCAACGCGCCCAGCCGTTCTTTGGGGCACAGAGCCTTTACTGACCTCAAACATGCAGCACACAACAGCAATACATCTCTCTTCTTGGTAAATTCAAATTTTCAGTTTTTCATCTACTTGTTTTTCCTTAAAGGCAGCACAATGCATTTCTTCCGAAGTCCAAAATCATGTTGATTTAATTGCTCTTGTCTTGTTTTTTTCAGGCAGTGACATCATTTGTCAGAGCCGTACAGCTGGGTGGGAAAGGGTATGCCCCCCCTCAGTCTGATCCCTTAAGGAAGCACATGAAGGGCCTGTCACAGTTTGTCCATTTCACAGACCAGTTGGAAGAGATATTGGGAGAATGCCCAGATTCCAGGTATGCCTGCATGACTCTAACCTGCTTTCAGTCATTGTCCTGTTTGTCTCTCCACCAGATGGAAATGATCAGTGATGTTAGTGAATGTATTTAAAGTCCCCGTTCTACTCCCTTTCATGATTGTCTTCTAACTGTTTGTAGTTTCTGTGAAGTTTTTGCTTCTATGAACTGGCAGAGAAAGAAAGTTGTTGGTCTTTTCTTTTAAGAGAGTTTTTTTACATTTCTTTTGTGCCGTTTTCTTCAGTTTGATTTAAACTGGAGGGAACTAAATTTGGCTCAGGTTATATCAGATCTGCCAAAGTACCGATCTGTTAGCAATACATGTACGCCAGTCACTCACGTTCCTCTCCCTCACATAAAATGAGTTGTTTATGTTGCCAAGGAGACGCCACTGTCAGTCATTTTGCTTTCTGATGCCCACACATTTCTGAGCGGGCTGCGCTTATTTAAATTAATACAGTAATAATGAGACAAATGATGTGCAACAACATTTAAGCTACAATCACATTACAAGCCTCTTTGCTCAAATCCGATTATTTTATTTATTTATTTTTTTTTTTGCTAAAATCTGATCTCTCTGATACGATGGTTCACACTCGTTTAGGTAAGTGACTCAAATCTGTCATTAATGTGAACGAACTGGCGTCCTGAAATGACCCTCATGAGCTCATCCTACTTAGTAACGTCACGTGAATGAATCACGTTCATCATCAGCACAAACTAACGAGCAGAACGAGCTTCGCTGAGAAGATAATTAACTCTGATCAGCCCTCAGCTTCATTATTAGAGCGAGACGAAGGAGAAAAAGGTGAGATGAGCTGCTTTTCCACCGTTTACAGGCTTTAACTTCTGTTCGGCGCTGCTGCCATGGTAACGCTGAATGATGGTGCAGTGGAAAAAAAGCACATGAATTCCGATCTGAGCGTCACATTAAGGTCTCATGGCCACAAATCAGATACATATCCGATCTAGGACCACATATGAAAGCGGCTCAGGTTGGATTTGAAAAATATCAGATTTTTGTGTCCACACAGCCCTGAAAGCATCAGATCTGAGTCACATTAGGGCAAAAATCTGATTTGTGCCACTTCAACCTGGTAATGTGAACACAGCCTTAGCAACAACATTCAGGTCTTGCCGGGCTTTGAGAAGCTACTAGTGCAGACAAACAGGAGAGAAGATGCTTTGCAGCTGCTTTAGTCTCTGCTGTCTGATGTGCTTGATTATTGTCAGGGACACTCTGAGGCGCTTTAGCGTTCTCAGTACATATGCGTGCCTGACCGAAAGTGATTTGAGTTCGCAGACCACGCACTGGACCATGTTCACACATACTTAGCGCTGTCCGCCCAAGACGTATGTTAATGCCAGGTGTAAATGGGGCCTACAAGCTTTCGTGCCGCGCCAGAGCAGCTGCTCCTTTCGTAATCAAGCAGTCCGCTAATTGCTTCTTTGCAGCTGGTTACATAATGTCATGCATTTCGTTTGTCTGCTTCACCTCCTTTTGTGGTGGATTTGCCATTTCATTTTACAAAATAACCATGAACATTATCAGTCATCACTACACAAGGTTATTGGCTGTATTTTATGCAGTTCTATTCTTTCTTAACAAATTTTAAGACTCTGGTCTCATGTTTGTCCGTTCTCAGGTAAGCCATAACTAATATGTTCAAGAATGTGAACGCAGACATTTTGCTGCTTGTGAAATGTGGTCAAAATATTATTTATTCTTTTTTTGCATTGCGTTTTTATCAAAATCAAATGATCAGGTGAGGAAAAACGAATTGCGGAGCACATCCGTACGATAAAACGGGCATCCACAATATGCAGTGTCTTTGCAAGCCACTCACCTCGTGGCTGTTTCTGTGATGTCGTTCATGCCCATATAAAAACATGGACAAATTTCTCATTAAAACTCCCCCGAGACACACTCTGCAACTATCTGCCATGCATCCCTGTCCCTCATGGCCACATTGTGAGCAGTTAGATCCCATTGGTTTGAAGTAAGTGTGTCCCCAAGTCTGAAAATCCGTGCAGAACATTTAAAAATCTTCATTTTCTGCAGTTTAGTAAACTTTTTTTGTGTTTTGATGAAGAAAATGATGACTTTCTGTGTGACAGCTGTTCAAAGCGTTTTTGAGTTCTGCTTAAAATGAGCTAAAATTGTCACCACCGTAACAGTCAGTACTGAAACCTTTGGTAAAGTTTGGGTGGAGTTATGATTGTTTTGGTAGTGACGGTGAACATTCAATCATTTGTTTTTAATAAAATAAACATGATTTAAAGTAAATATAGAGTCACTCAAAGCTAAAGGATTTTAGTCTAAAGTCTAAGTCAGTTAAATGTTCGAAATGTGTTTTCAGCTCTGACTTTGAACCAGTTCAGTATGATCCATATAGCTCCCGACATCAGCTTCTCGCCAATGTCCGGTCATGAAGACAGTTTTTCTGTAAAGTATGTCATCTATGTTGTAAAACTATCGTGTGAGCGGCGAGCACTCCACCGGTACTGCAGCCTTTGTTTAACCTGTAGATAAAGCAGGGTTGCTGCCGTATTGTACTGCCTTTGACCTTATTGTACGAGTGGAAGGATGCATTCCTAGATCTACTGATGTTTTGTTGAGTTTCCATAGTGTTTCCTCAAAAATCACAGAAGTGGCCAGACATGAATGTCCCCAGGCAAATCTGATCTCCTCAAAAATAGAGATTTCATATCTGTGGAATGTAGCTTTCACTAATTTTGGCAAATAACAGATGAAAAATCCTGGAGAGCGAACTCGTGACTCCTTTGGAAGTTCACGAAACGCAGAAAACTTTTTCCACTAGATAAGGCTTAGCTGCTAAACTCGGGTTATTCTTGCCTTCCCAACTTATATGAGAATTTCAGATACGTGCAGTATTCCACCTTCCACCTTTTTAACTCCTTGAGACCACCGGTGGTTCCAAAACGCACTTCGTCATTTTCTTCATAACTGTCATATTTCATAAGCTTCATTCTAAAGCTGGGGGTCGTATGAGAGCTGTAACTGTCTTCTTTCCAGTCAAATAGATGGGTGATGTGATTTTAAACCCTTATAATAAAAGAAGCTGAACTCTTCTACTGAAAGTCGACCCATTTTTCCACAAACCTGGGCTATAAACTGTAAACAGATGGCGTCTCTTCAGTGATCTGCTCTGTAAACATTATTTTTATAAAATAATACGAAGAGAAGATTTTTGGCTTTCAGCAGTAAATTGTAAGCATATAGCAATATGTGTATGATCATAAAACACGTTCTGTTCATTTGAGGGGAGCTTTTACAAAAATTTAATTTTTATTTTATTTATTTATTTCATGCAGTTACTGAATAATTTGCCTTATAATTTTGGTCATGTAAATTCAGATGGACAAACCAAAATATACCCTGGAGAACAAGAGGTTAATTTAATGTTTGCCTGTTTCTCAATATCTGAGGCCGAAGAATGACAGCTGCTTTCTCAGTTTGCCTTCTGTGTTCATTGTTATTCTGGATGAGGGGGTCAGTGGCAGTACCCCAGTGACGTTTTGTTTTATTCTGTGTTCTGTCTGTTTCTTCTGAGCAGAACTCTGACTCCCCTCTAGTCATATCTCTCTCCTACTTCTTGAATGATGTAGGAAAGTACTCACTGTTTTAAATAAAAGTTTCGTCTTGTCCCGTGATGACTGACTTCTGGACCTGTGCGTTCTGCAAACTCCTTAATTATTTATTTTTATTGTTTTTCTAGTATACTTTGCCTCTGGTTTAATACTGGTCATGTGTTGGATGCAGTTCTTTTTAAAGTTCTGTGAGTTTTCTCAGAATTTTCAGCTCCAATGATTGAGATTTTGAGAGATTGAGAACACTTTATTTGGCGTCGTTCTTTGTAGATGATTAATAAACTCTAAACATATTATCAATAACGCATCAACAACATATCAGTGAAGTATCAGTAGTGAAGTTAAAATCTTGATGTTCTGTCGACACATTACTTACATAAGTAGATGTATTGTTTGTTACTTCCATTACCCAAAACCTCACCCTGGCCCTAATCCTCACCCTAACCTTAACCTCAACCTAAAACCTAACCCTAATCCTAACCCTCACCCTGGCAGTAATCCTAACCCTAATCTTAACCTCAACCCCAAACCTAATCCTAACCCTAACCTTAACCTCAACCCAAAACCTAACCCTAATCCTAACCCTCACCCTGGCAGTAATCCTAACCCTAATCTTAACCTCAACCCCAAACCTAATCCTAACCCTAACCTTAACCTCAACCCAAAACCTAATCCTAATCCTAACCCTCACCCTGGCAGTAATCCTAACCCTAACCTTAACCTCAACCCAAAACCTAATCCTAACCCTCACCCTGGCAGTAATCCTAAACCTAATCTTAACCTCAACCCAAAACCTAATCCTAACCCATATGTTTTTGATGTTACTGATAGTCCATTGAGTGTTTTTCATCTCAAAGGACCACTGAAAATAAAGCGCCACAGAGATTATTTATTCATTTATTTATTCATTTATTTATTTATTTATTTATTTATTTATTTATTTATTTATTTATTTATTTTAGGCATATGCTGATAATTGTGGGTGTAACAAATACAGATATGTGCATGTACTCAGTTAACTGAATACTGAAAACGTCAAAATTAGTTGGAATGCACATCCCTAGCAACAATGCACATTTTTACTTTTGATATGATTTTCAATTCTGTGGCCAAAGTCAAATTAGATTTTTGATATTTTGTGTTTTGAAATGTTTTAACGATCCAGAGCTGTAATTATACACTACTAAAATTGGTTTGGCTCAAATACGTCCTCAAACAGCTCTTTAATAACTCCAGTGTCGGCCCCAAAAATCACAGCCCCTACAATGTGTAAGTGACCAGAAAAAAGCCCAGTCATTTGAGCATGGCTTCATGCTGAGTATAACAACTGCCCCCTCCCCTCCCACTTCACTCCTGAAACGCACCCAAATGCCTAGATTTAATCACTGACAGTTGTTTCCACAAAAGACTGTAAATCTTCGAAAGAGACTGAAGTGTGTTGGCGAATTTAGAATTACTGTATTTATTTAGTTCTATATGAAAACCTTTAATGCCAATGCATACTAAGCAGTGTTTCAGCATCATGGAAGCAGAGGGAGGAGCAAAAATAGATCTTATTCTGCCGTCTCTGGAGTCTGTGTGAATGAAAGTAGAGTGTGGAGTCAAGTATAATGGAGTTTATGGACAGTGAAGGAGGTGCAGTAGGAGGTGCTTTCAATGACAAGATGGAAATCGTTGCTTTTCCCCAAGTTCCTATTTGAACGTGACAAATAATCTTGGTCTTGGCACAGCTTAGACCCCAGAAAGAAATTGGGCATCCACTGGTGCTGCTTTCTCTGGGTGGGTAGCAGAGGTGTTCCCCAAGGATCTGTTCTAGGTCCACTTTTATTTATCTATTTTCTTCCTTTTGGTTTGGATCAGTTATCACGGCCTTCAGTTCCGTGTTCATGGCTCCTTTCTCACCTACCTCATTCAACCCCCTCGCAACTTAAGCAGCAGATCTGATCATGCGACTTAAGTCGCAAGTGGGTTGAATGAGGTAGGTGAGAAAGGAGCAGAAAGTTAGGTGCTGGGGTCTGTGTCTGCATGAACACGGAACCGAAGGCCGTGATAACTGATCCAAACCAAAAGGAAGAAAATAGATAAATAAAAGTGGACCTAGAACAGATCCTTGGGGAACACCACTCCTACCCACCCAGAGAAAGCAGCACCAGTTATGCTCTTTAATGGCTTTTTCCAGTCCAGCACAGTATGGTTACTAATTCTTATTCAGAACTAAATGTAAAACCCAGGAACCTGTGTCCATTTCCTATCGCATAACGGAACCGTGAAAGTTCTCAGTAGCTTGTGTTGTCATCTGATTTTCTCATGCAAATCTAGGATCAACAGGCTCTGATTTACCTGATTTGTCTGATTTTATAATAGAGTAAATGACTGAAAGTCTTTTCTAGTGCTTATTATAGCTCCTTGTACTCTGCAATACTAGTTTGCAGATGCAGTCAGGGCTGAGGTTCAGTTTTTAAGGGTTTAAGGACATTAGCAACTGTTAGTTTTGTGAGAATTTGCGAGTGTTGATGGGTTCCCACTTTTATGCACGTAAGCCACCACTGGTCTTGAAGGATGGAACTGGATACGAGTAGATGTGGGTCAGAGGTTTAACGATCTGATCCGCTGCAAGTTTCATGAGAGTGAAGTAAAGCTGATCAAGACCAGATGGTTTTCTGGGATCGATATTTCACTGGCTTTTAACACACCATCATGGAGAACAGGAGTAAAACGGAGTCAGCAGTTGTTAAGCGAGAACTTAACATCAACTGACATCATTAAAGGAGGGCCAGAGGGCCTAAACTGCTTGTTGAAGTGATTGATTTCCAATCCTGTTTTATAGTAGGATGGGAATCTGTCGCATCTTGTCTTACAGAAAGAAATGGATTCAATTACAATGGTTCAGAGTGATGGAGACAGAACATGTTGCCAAAGTGTTGCACAAATAGTTCTGAACAGGCTCCAATGGTCTCTTCTCAACAGGTTTAGCACATTTTGATGAGCAAAAAAGTGAAAATAGCCTGTCAGCCTCACTTTCACACCACCAGTGTTTCTCTCTTGAATCCGTTCTTGGATAACCATAGATGGATAGGTATGGACCATGTTCTTCACATTTACTGGAAAGCAGCTCTCTCCTCACTGAAGTTCAATTTGTGGATGGTTAAAACTCTTGAGATTCCATCGTCAGAGTGTCCTGACGCAATTCCTTCGCCTTGTCCTCTGTTCTCAGCTGTAGATCGCAGACATGTGGGCCCGAAAGCCCTGGAGGCCCTCACCTGACCCTCACCTGACTCCGACTCTGTCCCTCACCCCAGTAGACGGTGATAACTCAAGCCTTTGATTTCCTGCGCAGATTTTGATCTTATCGTCCAGAGAAGCCCCTTCTGCACTTCCCTTATCGAAATCCACCTGCGCTATCTATCTGCAGATCTATTTTTCTTTTCCCTCAAAAGCAGCCACTAATGACGTCTACGTCAGTATTAATGATATGGGTTGAATTGCTCAAGCATGTTTATCTGTGCAACATCAAAGCCCATTGTTCTGAAAAGCAAAAAAGGCAATTGTGTCCTTCCGTGGGTTGATTGCTGAAAGCTGATCAAACATCATACATCGAAATATTTTCCTTGATTGCTCTCACTTCAAAAACTTTACAAACTGGTGCTTTCCCAAACGTTTGGCAACACAACACATAGTGGAGTGGACCATCGATTGGCTCGTGAAGGCCTAAAGATAATTTCCTCTGGTGCATCAGAGATGCAAGTGCCTTGAACCTGCTATGGGGCTTTTCCCAAAAGATAGTGATTTAAGGTTCTGAGCCAAAAGGGTTCTTTCATCAGGCTGCGACCCTCCTAGATCCCCCCCCCCTCACCCCACCCCACAGCACCTTGTGGAGTACTGTGTTACCACACACAAACACCTCTCAATGCGAGATCAGTGCCTCTTGTACGACTAACATCTGTTTTCCCAGATGATTCTGTTACTGTAATTCCCTCACACGAAAGCTGGGTCAGGGATTCGGGCCGGCTCCCTTCCCGACTTCGCCCCCACTGTTTACCTTCGCTAACGTCCACACAGGCGTGTGCGTATACACGGATACATGCTTAGAGCAGAGATGTGCAGCTTTGGGATGGTGATAGTCTGTCAATAACTCCTCTTTGCCTGGACTTTCACTGTTAGGGTTGTTTTTGTTTTTGCTTTTCTTTCCCCTCTTTCTCTCCTTCAGTCTGTAAACTGATTGACCTCCGCTTCAGAGTACAGCTCTGGTTGTGTTTTACTGTATTTTTATTTTTTAAAGATGGTTTAGAGATTGTTCAATGCTATTTTTTTTATACTACGATACTGATACTTAATATTATTACATCAATATTTTTATACAAATTAATTGTTTGGAAAACCTTTTTACAAACTACCTTTTTTAGTACGAAAACAGATGAATAAAACTATGCATTGCACTTCAGTGGCCTTTTATTGTCGCTCTGATGATGACGAATCAATAATAAGCCCATAGTGATGTGACTCTGAATGTGTGCACACACTCGTTTAGAAACTATCGCAGTGCATCTGACAAAGGCTGCATGGAGCTTCTCTTTTACAGTGATGCTGGCACACAAAGCTCTGATTCCACATGCTGATCTACATTACTGTGGCCAAAAGGGGGCAATTGAGACAAAAGGTAGGGGAGGGATAAAAACTACTAGGGATGCATCAATGGCTGGTAACATTTTATACTTTTATTTTGTTTTTGAGACTTGAAGCTCACACTGTGTGGGCTGAATAACTAAATAAATACATGAAACACACATCTCCAGCTATAATATATAATATAGGCTTTAATGAGCCTGACTGGCATTTTTAACTCATAAATGAAAAATGAGTTGCGTATTTAAATAACATGAACAAAATAAAGTGCTATATTGAAATAAAAAGGTGCCTGGCTATGAAGCACAATCGGTCATTTATAATTCTGCTGTGACATTTTGTTACAGCTATTCAAGCAGCATTCGATTAGTGTCAGCGCTCTTACCTGCCCTGTTTACCTCATAAAATTGCAAGACAGATCAACTAAAATGTAAATAATAAATTGGCCAATTGCATGTTTGGAGCAAAAATTTGCAGATTCCGATCCTGGCCAATGCCGATCATGATTTCCCAAGAACTTTAAATAGATAAGCTTTAAAATAATTAAAAACAAAAAAAATAAATAACAAGAACTACTAAATCTTTATTTTTAATTAAAGCATCTTAAGATGAGCATCTAAACATGCTCAAACTCCTCAAACAGACACTTTACAGGTGGAAATATGTAGCCAAAGACACAAACTGTACAAAACTACAGCATTTATTTATTTATTCTGTAGTGTGTGTGTGTGTGTGTGTGTGTGTGTGTGTGTGTGTGTGTGTGTGTGTGTGTGTGTGTGTGTGTGTGTGTGGTTTATTCTCTAAACTCTTTCACCACATGAAAAGAAAAACGTGGCTATTATCATGCAACCCGCTTAATCCTGTTGTGTTACAGGCAGTTTTGTGTTATTTTAGGCCAGATTTGTCATGAAATCTGTTAAAGATGTGGTTTGTTCTGCCCACGCCCCCCTCCCCACCCCACCCCAACCCCAGATATCCGGTTTAGCATTTTCTGTTGGTACTAGCCCAATTCCGATACTTGTTATTGGAATTGTGCTGTTTTCAATTGTTTTGCCTGGTCTTGTTTGTTTCTTTTTGGACTAATAAGAACTGTTCTCTGTTCCCTCCTAGTGTTGCTGGGTGCAGGATCGTGTCCAGCATCAGGGCAGCTCTCTTGAAGGGCCTCAGTAATGGAGATCCGGTGTACGCTGCTGCAGAAGATACAGTGAAGGAGCTCAAAGAAAGAATCACTCAAATCCACACTTCTCTGAAAGAGTCTGCTTCCACCACAGGGATTAGCCCAGCGAGGGTAGAGTTGATTGAATCTATACTGAAAACATAAAATCTTCAGATCATCTTAAATCATCTTAAATCTAGTATAAATATTGAATATTTCTCAATTTATGGTCATTATAAAAAAGTTTGATCATTTCTGCAAGTTATTACTTGTTTTAGCTAGTGAAAATTTCTTGCATTGGCAAAATATTTAGCTTGTTTTTTACGCAGATAATAAATTTTGGAAATTTTTTTTCCAAGAAATTATACCTGAAACAAGCTAAATTATCTGCCAATAACTCAATTTCAATAGAAAAAGTGACAAGACATGTAAAAAATGTTTAATATTGTGTCTAATATTGTGTCTTATATTCTTACAGTCATCTCAGAATGAGAAATATTAAATTTTTGGTAGTTTTAAGATTATTTAACTTACCAATATATCATTTTTTTGCAGTGTAGCTTACTTATATCTTGCATGTCCACTCTTTTCTGGTTGAATAATGTGTAAACTAATATAATGTAATATAGTTATATTATATACTATAATTGCAGCCCAAAGCTTATGCCATTAATCATGCCACTGCCTACGGAGGCAGAGAGAGTGTGAAGCTGCTCATGGCTCTGCTGGATGAAGAGGCACTAGCGCCGCCCTGCAGGAATAAGGCAGAACTTCTCACTGAAGATCAGGCAGTTCTTAATGGGACTGAAGGAGTGTGTCTTCTGTCCCTGTACAAGTGAGTTCTGCCAGTGTAAACCATTCATGGTCACTTCCTGACCGTGCCTCATAGTTGTTTTCAGATTATTGTTCCCACATTTTACTTTTTGTTCTGCTGTTTGTCACATTATGTTGTGTCTTGTCTTGTTTATTCATGGGCTTCTGCTTTCTTTCAAATAAATGCCTCCAGATCTCCAGAAGCTCCCTCAGGACTCTCTCCGCAGCCCTTACAAAACCGCATCCAGAGCCAACAAGGACATGTGAAGTCTAAGGTAGTGAATCTTGATGCTCGTGCCTGAAAACCGAATCCTAATTGTTTTGATGGCCGATCTTTAATCCCAGTAGGTTGTGCTTGTGGATTTGAGGGCTGCAGATTTAAACTAGAGTGCTACATTTATTGGCTAAATATATGGACAAAGGTATTGGGCCACACCTCTTAATCATTGAATTCAGGTGTTTTGTTCAGTCTTGTTGCGACAGGTGTACAAAATCAAGCAGCTAGCCATGCAGCCTGCCTTTTCAGCTCGCTGAATTCGAGCGTGGTGCTGTAATAGGATGCCACCATTGCAGCAAGTCAGTTTGCGAAATTTCTTCCCTTCTAGATATTAAACAATCAGCTGTTAGTGGTATTAATGAACAGTTGAAGCATTTAGGAACCACAGCAACTCAGCCACGAAGTGGCAGACCGTGAAAAAATGATGTATTTAGTCTTTAGATATTTAAAAGTATTGTTATCATTTATTTAAACCTAAGAAATTAATGAATTATTTGAGGAGCTTACTATATACCAAATTATAATTAATATAGTACCTTTTATTGAGAGGTCTGTCCCAAACCCTACCCCCTAAAATGATTCTTAATTTTATTCATTTAGATTTATCATGAGTTTAATTTTTAAGTAATAAAAAATACTTTATTACAAAAATGCTGCTCCACACTTTCATGTCACTACTGAAACACAGGGTTTTCGAGCAGGAAGAGAGACTGCATCCCTGTCCCTCATGGCCACATTTTGTTTGAGCTCATTGTTTTGAAGTAAATGTGTCCCAAAGTCTGAAAGTCGGTGTGTAACATTTAAGAATTTTCACTACCGAAACACACATTTTCTGCAGTTAAGTAACGTTTTGTGTTTTAATAAAAATATTATTATTCTATGTGTGTACAGCTGTTCACAGCTGTGTTTCATGTTCTGGCTAGCATTTTTGTGTCAGTAGTGTTATGATTGTGTTAGTGTCAAAATGGAATATTCAATCCTTTATTATAACAAATAAGCATAATTAAGGTATAGGGTCACTCAAAGCAAAAGGATTTTAAAGTCTAAAGTCCAGGTCAATAAAAAGTCCAAAATAGGTTATCAAGTCTGACTTTAAACCAGTTCAGTAGAATTATATATATATATACCCATTGTGGACTTTAAATTGACTTGGACTTTAGACAAAAATCCTTTTATCTTAGAGTGACCCTTTGCGTGGAGATGGGCTGGAACCCACTGGAACCCCTGCTCTGGAGGCAAAAGTTGGGACGAGACTGGTTTTAAGCTCAGAGTTTGAATATCTATGTGACTCTCTTTGTAAAGGCCATAGTTGTTTGATTCACACACACATTTAAGAACAGAGCAAAGTGTCTGTTGAACTCAAATTCAGCCAAAAGACCTTGAAAGGTCTGAGTCACTCTGCATTTGGCTTCATGCCCATATTAGGAACTTCAGGTCTAAGCTGGATTTTATTTATTTATTTATTTTTTTTGACAAAAAGGTAAACAAAAAGGTTCCAAACCTGATCAATTTTATCTTGTGTACGTTTCCCCCAAATCTCACTGGACCCCTGTGTTACGAGGCTGTTTAGCCAATAATGAACTAACACTCCTGCACACTGAAATGATGTCACATTAAAAAGTCTACTGTTACACTTTAACACTTCTATATACCCACACCAGCTGCTCAAGCTGCAGCCTAAAGCTGCCAAAGCCTCCAAACTACCACATTTGATAAAGCTTACTGGTTTGTGTGAGGTGTTTTGGTGAGGCCAGTCCTATGATGTCAGTTGGATTGGAGGATCCGGTGATGTTTGGAGGAAACCTGTCAGGTTTGGAACATTTTAGTTTACCACAGGACACAACAGCAGCGCTTTTTCACGTTTAAGTTCAAGGGGCTTTTTTTGCACATTCACGTCTAGAGGTAGGGTGTCCCAATTCTTGTTGAGATAGAGGGGTAGCGTGAAGTGTTGGGGCTACATGGCCCTCCAAACGGAGGTTTTTCAGAGACTCACTTCAAACAGAGTATTATGCTCTACATACTGAGAATATGTGGTTGGTGTAGTGTAGTGGGTAACACCTCTGCCTTCTATGCTGTAGACTGGGGTTCAATCCCTGCCTGGGTAAGCACCTTACATTATACCAATAAGAGTCCTTGGGCAAGACTCCTAACACTACCTTCACCTACCTGTGTAAAATGATCAAATTGTAAGTGGCTCTGGATAAGAGCATCTGTAAATGCCATAAATGGAAATATGTGGAGTTGTGCAAAGGAGGATGTGACATACTATGACATATTAGCAGATAGCATATATGAACGTAGCAGTCACTAAGGGAACAGCAATGAAATACAGCATTTGGTTGATACCGTACTCTAGCAGCCAGTATTTTTGTAGAAGTAAAAATGTGCAAAATGCAAGTCAGCTATAAGTTATATCAAGTATGAAGTATTTCAGTGAAATGCAATAATATTTATATTTAAATACCGTGTCAGACATAAACTGGAACCGCAAAAAATGGAGAGTGAGATGGTCTTGTGTCTGTCTGTCTGTCTGTCTGTCTGTCTGTCTGTCTGTGCGGGTGTCCTTCAGTTCAGTCCATGGGAGTTGAGGAATCTGATGGCTTGTGGAAAGAAACTGCACCCCCCCCCCACCCCCTCAAAAAAACGCTGTCCAAAAAATTTGTCACAGAAAGAAACACTTACGCCCCGAGTTTAGAATAAGGGCATGATGCCGACTACAGAATGATGACAAGACTTTGGATGTCTATGGAAAGTTGTGATAGAGTGGGCTCCACCCTAAATAAATAAATGAAAATAAATAAACAAATAAATAAATAAAGCTATGCTTTCCCGCAGTGAAACCAAACTTTGTCAAGAGAACCAAAATAGCAGAAACCAACAAAAACTCCACCCTCACTTCACGATATTTGCTATTTAAAAGTTTCTGCTGTTTATCTGAGTTTAAGAATGTGACATTTGGGAACTAACATTGTATTTTACAGCTTACAGCTGACGATCATTTCAGTCTACACAATATGGCAAAAACATCATAATACTTGAAGACATTTTTACAATAGGATATGCATCACAATATTACATATTGTGAGGTTTGACAAGTTGGAACATATACAATGCACCAGTTGTGTCCATAGCAGTCCAACCTAGCAGTACAGTACTTTTTATTTATTTATTTATTTATTTTTTTTATAATTTCACATTCTGTGCTGCACTACATTCAGTTAAACAGGACTAGTTCTGCTCTCTTGGACTCAAGTTATCGAGATTTGGACTAAGGCAAAGCCTTAGACGACTACGCTGCTTGGGAGGTCTTGTGGGAGCACTGACGATATCTCAATATGCTCAGAAAAGTTTGTGATGACTACATTTGTCACTGCCCATCCTTATCAGTCAACAAAGCGTTGTATAATTCAGAGTTTTGGATGTAAAATTTGGTGTTAGCCACAATTTTATATCGATCAGGCCCTACTTTACACCAAGGAGGATGCCGGGGGACCAGCTAGGATACCCCAAAGCTGCAATATCTCTGCTGTTTGCTTCAGAATAGTCCAAATTTTTCTCAACACGATTGTATTGTCATACCACCCCATTTAAAGAAGCCTGCGCAGGCCGACTTCTTCTCTTTTCAAACTGTATAACTTCTCAGGTTTTAGTGCGCATTAGCTGTTTTTTGTGAAGCATCAACGTTTTATTTTCTACCAGTCGAGTGGCTCTCGTTCACTCTGCGGCCTTGTGCGTTTTTACTGTTGACTTATAAAACTATAGAAAGAAATAAAACCTTCAGTCAGGACTACAAGCCGCTCAAAGCAGCCTGTTCCAAAGCAGAACCTTGAAGAGGCCGGAGAAAGCTTCCGCATTTCCCACCACGACAAACAGCGGCCGTTTTTTAAATCTGAGGAACGGGTATTTCTGTCGAGAGATAAAGCTGCATCGAGCCTCTGCAAGCATGCATGCTAAATGCATTTTGGAAAATGGTTTCTTTATTTGATTGCAATAGCAGATGTCACTTTAGCTCCCTCTACTCTGGCCGCCTTCCTGTGAGTGCGCAGTAATGGTCCCTGGGTAGCTCACCGCTTCCTGAACTCGGCTGGCGGAAGCTTTTCCGCATCCATTTCACTTTGAAGCCGCCGTATCGGTCGCGTAACTCGACTAACAAGGGGGGAAACTTGAAAGGTTATTGTTTCCTGTTGTCTGCAGAACGACTTTATCCCGCCGCCCTCCCCAGCCAGCTTCTTCCCAGGGCTGACGTCAACTGGCACACAGGGAGTGATGCAGAAGTCTCTGCCGGGCTTAGGACACAGTCTTTTTCGCTTTTGATGAGTAATGCTTTAAATCCACCTGTTTAGATTGCGGACTATGTGAATTATTTGTTAATCTATATAAACGCGCATGCATATTTGTACGTTTGCGTGTGTGTTTATTGCATAACAGGTGTGCGGTTGCGCGAGCCTGAAAGAGCAAAACGGACAAGCACGGTTGCACCTCATTGCATATTTCTGATTTATCTGAATGATTCGGCACAGCACGTTCTGATAAACCCGCACTCGCACTCCCATAGGCAGGGGGTAATTGCTATCACCTGCTGCTCTCGAGCATTATGGGCCTCATCAGTCTTGTCTCACTGCTGCTTTGAAATCCTTTACTGCCCTCTTTTTGCCCCCCAGGTCAGCTGGTCCAAAGGGGTTATACAGGGACAGGCACTGGATGCACTCAGGCATCTTTTTTTCACAGCCCTCCCAGCTGTGGGGATTAAAAGTGAGTTTGCGTGCTGCCATATTTAGCTGCCATCATCTTTTTCTGAGTGTTCAGGATGCTCTCCATTAGCATGCAACCGGGGCAATCTGGCCTGCTGTTTTAAGCCTCCGTGTCTGAGGGTTGCTGTTGTTTTAGGTGTTCTTTTGAGAAAAGGCTTTGATCTGCCGCCCCTTCCTTCTTTCACTCTCCCAATCCCACCCAACATTTTTTTTTTATCATTAATTTTTTTTTTTATTCTGAATTCCTCTCCATTTATTGCGGCCCCTTGGCCCAGAGGGGGGAGAAACTCTGGAATCCCACTAATCCCAAGCAGGCGTGGATCAAACGAGCGGATCAGCACTTCTCCGAGGCCCTCGAGACCTCTAGGCCTCATTGAGGTTTCATGAGCAGCTCGTTCTTCCACTTCTGTACCTCTTGCCAGCCACCGGTCTTCAGCGCCTCCGTTTGTCAGAGCCCTCGTACCTGCATGGTTTCGTCAGAGCCTATTTGCGCTTGGCCACTTCATGTGTCTTTGGCTGATGTGATCGCGGTCGAGTCATTAAAAAGCCAAAAAATAAAGGCAGCCTAGATGAACTGGAGGCAGATCTCTCAGACCACCTCAGCCTCAACATAACACAGATATTTTTATGTCATTAAATGTGTTTGAGTGAGGTGGTTATTGGTGGTTGTTGGGTGGTAGTGGTGGTGGTTGTTGCTGTTGGTTGTTGGTGGTGGTGGTTGCTGTTGGTGGTGGTTGTGGGTGGGGGTGGTGGTGGTGGTTGTGGGTGGGGGGTGGTGGTGGTTGCTCTAGGTGGTTGGTGGTGGTTGTGGGTGGGGGGGGTGGTGGTGGTTGCTCTTGGTGGTTGGTGGTGGTTGTGGGTGGGGGGGTGGTGGTGGTTGCTCTTGGTGGTGGTTGTGGGTGGGGGGGGTGGTGGTGGTTGCTCTTGGTGGTTGGTGGTGGTTGTGGGTGGGGGGGTGGTGGTGGTTGCTCTTGGTGGTTGGTGGTGGTTGTGGGTGGGGGGGTGGTGGTGGTTGCTCTTGGTGGTTGGTGGTGGTTGTGGGTGGTTGTGGGTGGGGGTGGTGGTTGGTGGTGGTGGTGGGGGGGTGGTGGTGGTTGCTCTTGGTGGTTGTGGGTGGGGGGGTGGTGGTGGTTGCTGTTGGTGGTTGTGGGTGGTTGTGGGTGGGGGGGTGGTGGTGGTTGCTCTTGGTGGTTGGTGGTGGTTGTGGGTGGGGGGGTGGTGGTGGTTGCTCTTGGTGGTTGGTGGTGGTTGTGGGTGGGGGGTGGTGGTGGTTGCTCTTGGTGGTTGGTGGTGGTTGTGGGTGGGGGGGTGGGGGTGGTGGTGGTTGCTCTTGGTGGTTGGTGGTGGTGGTGGGGGGGGAGGTGGTGGTTGCTCTTGGTGGTTGGTGGTGGTTGTGGGTGGGGGGGTGGTGGTGGTTGCTGTTGGTGGTTGGTGGTGGTTGTGGGTGGTTGTGGGTGGTTGTGGGTGGGGGGGTGGTGGTGGTTGCTCTTGGTGGTTGGTGGTGGTTGTGGGTGGGGGGGTGGTGGTGGTTGCTCTTGGTGGTTGGTGGTGGTTGTGGGTGGGGGGGTGGTGGTGGTTGCTCTTGGTGGTTGGTGGTGGTTGTGGGTGGGGGGGTGGTGGTGGTTGCTCTTGGTGGTTGGTGGTGGTTGTGGGTGGGGGGGGTGGGGGTGGTGGTTGCTCTTGGTGGTTGGTGGTGGTTGTGGGTGGGGGGGGTTGCTCTTGGTGGTTGGTGGTGGTGGTGGTGGGGGGGGTGGTGGTGGTTTCTCTTGGTGGTTGGTGGTGGTTGTGGGTGGGGGGGTGGTGGTGGTTGCTGTTGGTGGTTGTGGGTGGTTGTGGGTGGTTGTGGGTGGGGGTGGTGGTTGTTGCTCTTGGTGGTTGGTGGTGGTTGTGGGTGGGGGGTGGTGGTGGTTGTGGGTGGGGGGTGGTGGTGGTTGCTCTTGGTGGGTGGTGGTGGTTGTGGGTGGTTGCTGTGGGTGGTGGTGGTTGCTCTTGGTGGTTGGTGGTGGTGGTTGTGGGTGGTTGCTGTTGGTGGTTGTGGGTGGGTGTCGTTGTTGTCGTTCTCAGTTGCAACACTGAGTTTGACAGATGTTCAAGTAACTTTAGTTACTTTAGTGTGTTGCAGTTTTACAGTGAGTCTGTTGGCCGTCTGCCAAGTTTGTCAGCCTAGACCTAGTTGCTAATCACAACCACATTCTCAATTCACAGGATACGTTTGGGCCATTCACTACATACACGGGCGGTACGGCACTACAGTGGGTAGCACTGTTGCCTCACAGCAAGAAGGGCCTGGGTTCAATTCGCTGGCTGGGTGACCAGGGTCCTTTCTGAGTGTAGTTGCAGTTCTTATCACTTTTTATGCTACAGACGCTGTAAGAAGTTTTTCCTTTTAGTTATTTGAAATGCATGACTGCATAGAGCAGAATCTCCATGGCATATTCAAAGGAGATCCACATTTTCATGGGAAAAGCAGCACTGATGCATATTTCTAGTGGCAGGGTTTAAAGGATGTGTTGATTAATTTTATCTGGACATTATCTAGAAATGTGGCACATTTGAAGGTTGTCGCTCAAAATAACCATTTTTGTTCTTCCAGGCAAGGGAAAGAGTCATCCGCTCCCAATTTGCCTGCACCTACCAGGACGATGGGCTGCCCCTGAACCGCGTGCTAGAGTTTCCCAGCTCCAGTCAGCTTCCCACCTGTGTGCATCCTGCTCCCAAACGCACAAGCCCTTCACCTGTTATTGCTCCTCCTGAGGAAGAACCCGAAACTACAAGCACATTCGGTAAACTCCCAAGCACTGCCTCCAACATCAAGATGAAAACAAGTTCTAAAATGGCCTGCTTGCATGTTTTATGGCGGTTGCACACACAAATACACACATAAGGGAATGCTCCAGGTCCCTCTGACGCCACACTGTCGGAATGATGCCCAGGTCCACCTCCTGAGCCTGTGAGCCAGGGCCTCGAGCTCTGCCCAATCCCTGCTTGGGGACTGGTGCTTAAGATCAACCTTTTAAAACAATTCCCTGCACTATAAAACCTGGCCGGCCCCTCGTCTGTAGTAAAAACCCTAAGAACAAACTCACACATGGGCTCTGTCTCTCCCTCGTTCTCTCTCTCTCTCTCTCTCTCTCTCTCTCTCTCTCTCTGCGAATTCAGGCTGTGGTCCACCACATTACATGACAAATGTTCAGCTTCAACCCTGTAAAATAAACACGCTGCCTGTTAAACTGCAGGCTAACGTCAGCAGTTTCATCATAGCTTCACCCTCTTCTTTCACCCTCCTCCTCCTCCTCCTTGTCCATTTTTCTTTGTTCAGTCTGATTCCCAAGCTTGACTTTTTTCTCCCCCATCTCCCTCCTCTTTGTCCCTTATTCATGTTCTTCAGTGGAAGTGGATCCAGGGGCTGCGAGTTCAGCCCTGGGGCAGCGAAGCGGCAACTCCTGCGTACGAACAGGTGGACCTGCACGGCTCCAAACGGTCACCAAGACCTCCAAAAGGAAACTGGCAAGCAAGGACTGCGTGGAACAAGGAAGCGAGGAGAACCAGCCGCCCCAAAAGAGACCCCCTGCCAAAGCCTCCAACCCTGGGCCGGCGAAGAAGAGCAGCAAAGCTGCTGGCAAGAAGCTCATTGCAGGTCAAGGCAAGCTCACGAGCTTTTTCAGACTGTGATTTAAAGCTTATCTGTGGCGCCTCATCAGCAGATCACAGCGTGTTATTTATTGCCATTTCACTGGTCTAAATGCATTTAAAGTGGAGCGAGCCAAATATGTGTAATCATGTCCCTTGACATGGATTTGCAACACTTTAGATGAGTGCATGAGAGATTTTTTTTGTTTTTTTTCTTTTGACCACATTTTGAAGATTTTACTACTGTCTGATTTTAACCCCTGTGGAGACATATTTCTGTTTACGCAGTGCGTTGAACATCTTTATGTGGGGTTTTATAATGTCCATCAATCATATTGCAGTGAAGTTACCAACAAAGTCTTTTAATAAAGTTTTATTTAACTTTTTAAGCTGTACAGCGCTCTTTGTTCTTTATTTGCTTGTAAATACAGAACACAATACAGTAGAACAGAGCAGAGGACAGTGGTCATGGTGAGAAAGAAGCAGTTCCCAGGTTAGCTGTGGTCATCTGAACTGGTCTCAAGCTTGCCAGCAGGGTCGGTACACTCTCCCGATCATGCACCGAAGCACTAAATAGAACCAGAGAACAAAACACTGAAGGACTAAAGGACCAAGAAATACCAAGATTGTAGTCCATCTGTTTCTGCATCACTTGTTAACTTTGCTTGACCCCATTCTTCAGTCTTCAGGACCCCTACAGGACCACCACAGAGCAGGTACTATTTGGGTGGTGGATCATTCTCAGCACTGCAGTGACACTGACGTTGTTGCATGTTAGTGTGTGTTGTGCTGGCACAAGCGGATCAGACACGGGTTTGTACACTTAACTGTCCACTCTATTAGACACGCTTACCTCTTTGGTCCACCTTGTAGATGTGAACATAGAGATGATAGCTCATCTGTTATGGTTCTTCAAGGGTTCTTAAATAAAGAAAATGGTTTTCTTTATAGAACTGAACACTTAAAGAATCCTTTGCATGAGTAAAGCATTCTTCAGATCGATGGAAAATATGCTGTAGATGGTTCTCTATAGAACCTTTTTGAATAGGGTTCTATTGTTACAATGTCAAGCCTATAGAAGAACCCTTTTTAAAAAGGTTCCATATAGAAACACATAAAACACATCCTCTATCAATCTAAAGAACGCTTTCATGATGCCTAGAGCCCTTTTATCATGCAAAGTGTTCTTTAGTGAAGAAAATGGTTCTATATAGAACCATAACACTCAAAGAACCCTTGAAGAACCATTGTTGTAAGTGTGTAGTTCATCAGTGGTTAGTTTCTGGCCACAGAACGCTGATGGCAGTTGATTCTCAGCCTAGCAGTGACACGGAGTGGTTTAAAAACCGCGATGAACGGGTGTAAAGGGGGTCTAACGGGTGTAAAGGGCGTCTAACAACTGATGCAGAGAAGCAGAAGGACTACAATCTATGATTGTAGAGCTACAGACTGAGTCTATTATGGTAAGTGGACCAAAGGTATGATTTTTTGTCATAAGTTATATCTCTGTGCCACAAATAATCACAGATAACATGACAAACAGTGTAACAACATTAAGTTTTGCCCATTTGGTCTGTTTTGATGTTTTATTGACATTTCAAATAAATAATACAGCAGACCCTCAATCACCTTACACTGCGATTGCATCCAAAGTACAATCTTAAAGATGGTTCTTCAAGGGTTCTTAGGAAAGACAGTGGCTCTACATAGAACCATGAACACTCAGAGAACCATTTGCATGCCCAAAGGGTTCTTCGCATGGTGAAACGGTTATTCAGATTGATTGAGACTGTTGGATATGGTTCTACGTACAGTACCATTTTCAAATGTGCTTTATAGTACTAGAAAGGGTTCTTCTACTGTTACAAGCTTGACATCGTAACAATAGAGGAACCTTTTTGGTTCTATATAGAATCATTTCCAAAAAGGCTCTATATAGAACCATATACGTCACATTCTCCATGCGAAGAAACATTTAAGCACACTAAGGGTTCATTGAAAGTTCATCTATTTAGAAACATTGTCTTTACTAAGAACCCTTGAACAACCGTCTTTTTAAAGAGTGTAATCCGAGTTGTTTTCGAGGTGAAGGACATAAAGGAATGGCCAGTCTTTTGGGGGTCAGCCCTAGCCTAACATGGACACTACCGTCTAAGGAGCTGCCTGACTCGATCAGCTGCATCAGACAACGCTGTAATCAGCTGGTCCTGAAGCATGAATAACTATTATTTCCCAAAATCCAGCAACGTCTAACGGTCCAAGGCACGAGCATGTAGGGCACATATGAGACGAATGACTTGAGGAATTCGACGAAGCTCAAGTTGGCTTCTTTTTCGATTTTTTGCACTCCACCTTAAATGGTGCAGCAGTGACATTCAGGCAGCTGTACAGGTCACAGAATGTAACTGCTGTTCCATTTAAAGTGGAACGGGGAATTCAAGGAAACGTAGTGAATAAGAAGACAACTTGTGCCTTGTGGAATTTCAGACGTGAAAACCACTTAGCACTGCGGAGGTAGTGTTAGAAAAAGCACTGTTATGCACAAATAAAAATTGTTCTTATTAAAAAGTGAAAAATAATAAGCCACCTACAGAAATGTTTACTGAAGGTTCACTGGCCATACCTCCCAAAACTAAGTGGACCAGATAAAATGGCCAGTGAGTGTAGGTGGGTGTGCCTAATAGTGACTACTGAGAGTAAACAGAAACTCGTGCTGTATCCTTTGACTGAACGTTGTCTGCACGCAAGTCGACTCCAAGCCATCGTGCATTTTTGGAGAATTACGCTGTTGTGTTTGAAAGCAGCTCTGCTGCGCGGATTTGCCTATTGTGTTCTCAGCTAAGTAGTAAAACACTCCGCATGTTTGGAAAGCTATACAAACTCTGGTGAGGATCAATGTCATAGGTGCTGTCAAAACTTTGAAATCCTATCTTTTCTTTCCTCCGAATGACTCAAAATGACTGAGGAGAGTGAAACCGCTTTGACGAAACACATCACCCGACCGACTGCACGGCCAAGCCAGGCTACCAGCCACGTTCTAGTACCGCATTCATCAATGAAGCAGAACAGAAAAGTGGGAGAAGGCCTACGTGTACTGTCCAAGTCTCTCCTGGCCATGGAGATGAGGTCATCTGCATCACGTCGCTCATCTTTCAGGGTTCCAGCAGGAGCGCGGTCCGTTCTCAACGGCGACAGGAAAGGGAAGGCTCGGCCTAAGGTGGAGCTTGGGTCACTCCTGGCGGCCCCCTTCGATCCCAAATCCTGAGGGAACAGACCATTGATAATCACCAAGCAATACCTACAGGCCAGTGGCCTTCTCCGCTGACCGGCCACCGCAAGCCGTCTCTTCTGAGCACAAACCACTGTTTCCTCTTTAAGGATTTATTGTATGGAAGCTTGTATCATTTTTTTTTTTCTTCTAACCACACCTGGAGATGTTTAAAGTTAATTTGGACAGCCCGCACCCAAAAGCTCCTGAACTGCCCTGGTGTGTCGTACTGAGTATGGAACCTCACATGGAAGAAATGGCTCAAATTGCAAAAGAGCTTCCCATGCCTCACTTTGCCCCCTGTTTTAACGAGATCACAGTGGCCCCTTTTATTCGTAGCCACGGCTTCCCCCCATGAGCCTGAAGCCTCTCCTCCATTTGATTGTTCCATTACTGCACTGATAACTGTTACAACATGAGGATCATTCGGCTCTTTCCACGGAGAAACCTACTCCAGGACTGTGCTTTAGGAGTGGAGCCAAACGTACACCTATTGGGCTGAATGTCTCAATCTCTCCACGAGTGCGGATTGTGTAACTAAAGCTGTGAAAGGTTTAAAGAAATATTTTTTTCTAAATAATATTCATTCAAGGGCATCACACAACTGTGAATAGCTGTACTTTAAATGGACGCACTTAAAAAAATCAGACGTGCTGTATATGGATATAGGGTATATGGATCAGAGTCGAGAACACATTTCAGACTTTTAACTGTTTTTGATTTGAGTGACCCTGTACCTTAATTAGGTTTATTTCATGAAAATAAATAACTGAACATTTCATTTTGTCACTACCAGAACAATCATAACTCTACCCAAACTTTACCAAATGTTTCAGCAGTGACTGTTTCGGTGACAATTTTAGCTCATTTTGAGCTCAAAAACTACCAGTACATGACCATAGACAGCTTTAAACAGCTGTTCACACATAAAATCATTTTCTTTATTAAATCACAAAAAAAAAGTTTATTTACATGAAAATGTGTTTCAGTAGTGACGATTCTTAATGTTCCTTTTGGGACACATTTACTTCAAAACAATGGGATCTAACTGCTCACCATATGGCCATGAGGGACAGGGATGCAGCCTCACTTCCTGCTCTAAAATTCTTTGCGTTTCGGTAGTGACAATTTCAGCTCATTTTGAGCAGAACCCAAAAGTGCTAGCCAGTACATGACTACCACACACAGCTTTGAACAGCTGTTCACACAGAAAATCATCATATTTTTCATTAAAACACAAAGTTCATTTAAGTGCAGAAAATATGTTTCGGTAGTGACAATTCTTAACGTTCCACACTGATTTTCAGACTTTGGGACCTATTTACTTCAAAACAATGGGATCTAACTGTTCACCATGTTGCCATGAGGGACAGGGATACAGTCTCATGCCTGCTCTAAAACTCTGTGTTTCGGTAGTGACATGGAAACATGGGACAGAGTTTTCTGAATAAAGTTTTAATTAAACTAAGTATAAATAAATCTATTTTTGTGCACAGTTTGAACCTTTATTCAGTAGAATAGTCCATGAAACTGCTGCATTATGTGGTGTTGAAAAGCGCCTCACACTTCATACAGCATGTTTCTGAGAAGATTTACAACTCATTGGTGATGCATAAAGTGTGGTAAGATTGAATAATGCTGGATCTTCAGGATACAGGCCTACTCAGCAATCTCTCTCCCTCTCTCTGTGAGGTAGCAGGCTAAAGATAATTACATAAGTAGCCCATATTTATTTTGGAATAGGCCCACTATGCATCACCAAAACTCTAATCAAAGACAGTTTTCTTACTTATCACTTCCCACGATGAAACTAGGAGGAGGCTAGTGAATCTGGCGGCTTATGTCCTTTCATTTGCCATTTAAAACTGAAAGATTAGCTCTAACTGTGAATTTATAGAGGATGACAGAGAGAAAAGTTCTGTCCTGCTTCAGTTTCATGCATCATCCTGTAGTTATGTGCGCACAAGCTGCTGTGATTGCGTCAGATTTCTCGAGAATCTTCTGCCCACACAGACTGTGAGTGAAACTCTGTTGAAATAAGTGTTGGTAAGTAAGTTTTCACTGACTGTTGTTAGCGTTTGATACGCTTTGCTAGCAGTGTTGATCTCTAAAAACTAAAACTTTATCTGTGCAACTTAGCCTAGGCTAACTGTTAACGACATGCAGTGCAGCAGTAGCTTATTTCTTTGTTTTATTTTGATGTATTTATTTATTTAAACAACATTGTTGTGAATTTGGTCACTGTTCAGTCTGGTTACCCCTGAGTTCCCATTACATTCAAGGTTTTAGGTTTAGCTTAATAAGCTAGTCTGAGGAGCCGTTTTTGTTTTATTTCTTGGTTTAAATAAATGATTTGAAGAACCATTCAAAGTTCTTTTTAGCACAATTTCAGTAGCTCTCTATGACTAAAGTAGAGTTTCGTGTTGGACGAGTAACCGAGGCTGGCTCTTCGGACGAGCTAATGAGCTAACAGAGCTAACAAGTGTTAACATGTTGGATGACAATGATGACTTGTCTTCTACGCAAGTCATTTTCTCCTCAGTGGACAGTGTGACAGCATGTTATTTGTCAGGGAAATACACTGACCAGCCATAACAACCTTGTTTCTACACTCACTGCCCAATTTATCAGCTCCATTTACCATATAGAAGCACTAGATTTACAGTTACAGACTGTAGTCCAACTGTTTCTCTGCATACTGTGTTACCCTGTTCTTCAGTGGTCAGGACCCCCATGGACCCTCACAGAGCAGGTACTATTTGGGTGGTGGGTCATTCTCAGCACTGCAATAACACTGACGTGGTGGTGGTGTGTTAGTGTGTGTTGTGCTGGTACGAGTGGATCAGACACAGCAGTGCTGCTGGAGTTTTTAAACACTGTGTCCACTCACTGTCCACTCTAATAGACACTCCTATCTTGTCAGTCCACCTTGTAGATGTAAAGTCAGAGACGATAGCTCATCTGCTGCTGCACAGTTTGTGTTGGTCATCCTCCAGTCCTTCATCAGTGGTCACAGGATGCTGCCCACAGGACGCTGCTCGCTGGATGTTTTTGGTTATCAGTCCAGCAGTGACACTGAGGTGTTTAAAAACTCCAGCAGCACTGCTGTGTCTGATCCACTCAGACCAGCACAACAAATGGACAATGAGTGTAGAAACAAGGCGCTGCTTTTAATGTTGTGGCTAATCAGTGTACATTTTCATGGATTCTGCACCTGACTAATGTCTGCTAGTTAGACCGCATCTTCCTCCAATTTCTCAGCGTTTCTCTGCATTCTTGGCAACATACTCACGTTCAGGCACTTATATTCAGAGGTAGACAAGTATAACTTGTATAACTTGTAATGGGATATTTTTGATAATTGACTAGTAAAACCATGGTGATGCATAAAAGGCCATAATAGTGGTAAGTTTAATGGCTAAAAATTCCCTACGGTGATTATGAATGGGATGAACCTGCTCACTCTACTCTAGTGAGGGCAGAAAGTGTCCATTTACAGAAGATATAAAGTGTAAACCAGATACGGAAAGTCTGGTAGCAGCAACCAGTGATGTTCAACTGGCATTTCATCATCTGGCTGCATTTTATGGTCACAGATTTCAGCCGCAACCTGCATGTTGAGCAGTACCCAAAAACGCTAGCCAGTACATCACAGCTTTGAACAGCTATACACATAAGCAGTACAAAAGTTTATGTAAAAATGTTTCAGTAGTGACGATTCTTAATGTTCCACACTGATTTTCAGACTTTGGGACACATTTACTTCAAAACAATGAGATCTAACTGCTCACCATGTGGCCATGAGTGACAGGGATGCAGCCTCACCTCCTGCTCTAAAATTCTTTGCGTTTCGGTAGTGACTGTTCGGTAGTGACAATTTCAGCTCATTTTCAGCAGAACCCAAAAGTGCTAGCCAGTACATGTCTACCACACACAACTTTAAACAGCTCTACGCGCATTAAAGTCATCATATTTTTCATTAAAACACAAAGTTCATTTAAGAGCGGAAAATATGTTTCGGTAGTGACAATTCTTAATGTTCCACACTGATTTTCAGACTTTGGGACCTATTTACTTCAAAACAAAAGGATCTAAATGTTCGCCATGTGACCAGTAGGGACAGGGATACAGTCTCACTTCCTGATCTAAAACTCTTTGCGTTTCGGTAGTGACATGGAAACGTGGGGCAGAGTTTTTTTTTTGTTTGTTTGTTTGTTTTTTTAATAAATAAGAAAAAATAAGGTGTAAAAAAAGCAACATTATTTAGCTAATTTTACAATAACCAGAGGTGCACCAGAATGTAAACTGGAACATTCTGATGTGTTGATATCGAAAGCTATAATACTGGCACTATTAGCAGCATTATTAATTATAGTTCATCATTTTTTTATTTACTTATTTATTTGTTTTACGCACTTTTTCACATTTTGCTTGACTCCTCACAATATCCTGTCTATCTGTAGACATTTGTGAGTGTGAGTCATGACATAGCACTAGTCCAGAGGTTGGCAACGTGAGGCTCCGGAGCTGCTTGCAGCTCTTTTACTGCCCTGTTGTGGCCCCACAGCAGGATTAGATATTTAGGTAAAAAATAAAATAATCCTCCTTTACAGTAAAATAAAGCTCTGCTGATCGTTCAGCACAGTTTTAACAGTAAATGGTCTTAAACGCTGGAGTTGATGTAGCCTATATCTGCTAATTCACTCTTTAACCCTGGTTGTTGTACAAAATGCTGGTCACTTAGCAACATAGACTACGTTAAAGAACGTAACATAGCTAAAGAAAAGGCAAAGAGAAAGATTTAAGATAAACATGATAATTTAGAGACTAATTAACTTGTTTGCGTTTATAATCACTCCAGCTGGTTTCCTGATACGATTAATCTGCAACAAGAAACTGGCAGTCAGTTTCTCATGCACCAGCTTCTTCTTCCAAGTTTCCTGTTCCTCCTTAAATGGTCCAGCAGGAAAATTCGAACAAGAAACTGGCAAATGAGACGCTGACTTCAGCCTCGTAAAAAGTCGATCGCTGAGAGACTATTTAGAAGAAGCTATTCTGCTTTTGCGGAAAAGTTTCCTGCCAGAGATGCGAGAAAATCAGCTGTAGTTGACCTAAAGCTTCAGGCAGAGCAAAGTTAGTCTGCGTTTCTTTAAATTTTTTAGCCTATACTAGAACATCAGCACATACTGAGACATGTTTACAGCCAAGATGGTAAAATGGACATAAACTGTTGTGGCTCTCAAGGTGGTTTGATTTTTGTTGAAAGGACAAAATGGCTTTTCTTAACATTTGGGTTGCAGCCCCTGGGCTAGGCACACCATGTCAGAATTTTGAAATGAATTATCAAATTAAATTCATGGAGAACACAAATTTATGATTTGCCAGCATTGGATGACTGCTGCGTCGCATAGTGCCTTAAATGGCATAGCTACCATAATAAGAGTCCTCTATAATTGCACTGTTTAAATAAGGTAACTTGATTTATTTGGACAATTACTGAACATTGTATTATTATTATTATTATTAGTAGTAGTAGTAGTAGTAGTAGTAGTAGTAAATATAGTGATTATATTTATTTCTATTGCTAGTAGTAGCACTAGTAGTTGTATAATTTTTTTGTGTATTGACAAGCAGTGTGACAAATGTCATGCAGCCAATAGTAGGCTTGCCTACACTTATTCATTCATTCATTCGTTCATTCATTCGTTCATTCATTCATTCATTCATTTTTGACACTCATTAAGATGACGTGACAAAATCTGCTGAGGAAAAAAAAACTGCTATCAGCAAATATTAACTGTTACAACACCTGATTATGTAAACTGATCCTAGCAAATTACAGGAAACAGAAAATTTAATATAAAATAGCTGATATGTCCAACTATAGAATCTTCTAAAACATATTTTAACTACTGTGGTCAGATCTGATCATTCGATCATCCTACGTTCAGTAGCACTACTTACTGAAAGGATGAAGATCCTCTTCATCCCATCCTCATCAGCCAGTCTTCCCTCTATGAGGGGGAGTCTTGAGAGAGCACCGGTCTCCACTGCATTCATTACTTCCCCCAACACTGAACTCCAACTGCTTTGGCCTGTCCTGTCTTCTTCCATTCTGCCTGCGGGCAAAGCGAGGGTTGCCGAGTGAACGGCACACCTGGCGAAAAGTGCAAGAGCAAAAATGAGCAAAGACGAGTTGGTCATGATGTCAGGACGTGGTCAGCTTCTTTGCAGAATCAGTGCTTGACCTGGTGTCGCCTGTGCCGACTGCTTCCTCGAGACTCCAGCGACCTCTTTTATAGTCCTGAAACTGAAAAGAAATGAGTTGTCCACCATTGGACAGCGGTCTGATAGACGGTAGTGACGTTATTGCTTTCTGCATTTCCTTCTACTATTAATGGAACAGAACAACTAAGAGGGCTCCAGCTCTCGAAGAGGTGGGCGCCCGGTCATAGGGGTCTATTGTGCGGGCCATAATTTGAGAGAATGTTGTTTGAGTGTTTTCCACTGTTTACACGAATTCACTGTTGGTTTATGAATGACCGGCTTATAAAAGTACTTAGGATAATTTGATGTGGATGCATCAGAAAGACAGGAAGCAGCTTTCCTTCATCAGTTCTCCAACCCTACAGGTCAAAGGGGTCCTGCTTTAGATAAAGGACTTATAGAGTAATAGAAAATGTGGTCAAATCACATACTGTGAATGGAATGAGAGGCAGTGTGACACCATCATCTATTAAATCAACAAATACTCTGTCTATTGTATGATGTAATATCCCCTTGTACAAAGCCTTGGCTGAGTGACCTGTCTTTTTAGGATGGATTGCACTTTGACCTCTCAGTGTTATGGCTGCAAAGGGACAGGATGATGCTCTTTATACCTTACGCCTTAGGGGTTGAATTGGGATTTCAGAGCCCTATTTTGTCCATGAGTGCCAATGATATTTTCAATTTATGTGGTATTATGACATTCTCAGCATTGATATCATGAAAATATCATCTGATAAAGCCTTTAAACCACCCAAATTAAGTGTTTCAAACAATAATACCATAATAATAATATAAACAATAATTCCTGTCCATTTTTTCTGTATGCTTGGATCAGCTCTCTCTTGGTGTTTGTGACAATATAGTTCATTCACAGAACTTGTGCAACACTATTGCCAGTGTTTAATGCCATCCACTCATATTTGCTTCTCAAACTACTGAAAACTCCGGCTTTCCTACTTAACATTTACTTAACAAACCAATTTAACTCTGTTGTTATTGCTCAGGCTTCTTTAGTAAAACCTCATTTACATAGAACTAGCCTACCGAATGAAGAAATGGTTGATTTTGCTTCCTCATTACTAGCAATTATATCTGGTTATGGAAAACTTCAGCAAAATAAGAGAAAATCAAGGCTAGTTTGGTTTGAGGCCTAATTAACATATTTATGTAGCATGCACAGCCAGAAACATTGAATATGTATAAGTGGCATAAGCAGAAACACATTTCTAGGTAGGCCTGTGATGCGCCATGCACCCTACCTATTCAAAAGCTTCCTCCATATGCTGATATAAAGTAATAGCAAGACTGTGTAAACATCAACCATAATGCTGGATTAACATAAACACTGCAACGTCTGCACTACAGATATACACCAATCAGGCATAACATTATGACCACCTCCTTGTTTCTATGCTCATTGTTCTTGTCCTTCCTCATTGTTAGCCCCCTTTTACCCTGTTCTTCAGTGGTCAGAACCCCCATGGACCCTCACAGAGCAGGTACTATTTGGGTATTGGTGGTGGTGGTGTGTTAGTGTGTGTTGTGCTGGTCTGAGTGGATCAGACACAGCAGTGCTGCTGGAGTTTTTAAACACTGTGTCCACTCACTGTGCACTCTATTAGACACTCCTACCTTGTCAGTCCACTTTGTAGATGTAAAGTCAGAGACGATAGCTCATCTGCTGCTGCACAGTTTGTGTTGGTCATCTTCTAGTCCTTCATCAGTGGTCACAGGACGCTGCCCACAGGACGCTGTTGGCTGGAAATTTTTGGTTGGTGGACTATTCTCAGTCCAGCAGTGACACTGAGGTGTTTAAAAACTCCAGCAGCACTGCTGTGTCTGATCCACTCAGACCAGCACAACACGCACTAACACACCACCACCATGTCAGTGTTACTGCAGTGCTGAGAATGATCCACCACCCAAATATTACCTGATCTGTGAGGGTCCATGGGGGTCCTGACCACTGATGTATGCAGAGAAACAGATGGACTACAGTCTGTAACTGTAGAACTACAAAGTGCACCTATATAGTAAGTGGAGCTGATAAAATGGACAATGAGTGTAGAAACAAGGAGGTGGTCATAATGTTATGCCTGATTGGTGTATACAACTGCATAAACTTGAGGGGTGGTGAGAACATGTAACTTTAGAGCTTTATTTGTCAGTGCAGCTTATCACATTGAATTGTTAAATGGATTTCATGAGGATTTTATTGGAAACGATTTACATTTCCGTGAAATTACATTATTGGAGCAGCTCTATTTACCATTCACACAAAACAGAGGTCCTAAATCTCTGTTGCCAGCCCAGTTCAGCCCCTGCTTATGTTGCCAAACCAAAAATTATTGAAATCTTTTGTAAGGACTGGTTAGCATTGAAATGAAGAGGCTTGGAGTGTCTGCAGTGTGCAACATATGCAGACAATGTGCGATGTAATGTTAAATAGGGAGACAAATGTTGGTCTTCAGACTGTTTAATATGGAAACAGAAGTCAACTCTCCCAGGCTCCTCTTCAGTTCTTAGGAAAGCACAAGGGTTATCCTTATTAATATCAATGAAGCTGTTGCTCAGGGAAAAAGAAATAGGACATGAATAATAGTTATTGAACTCAGCTGAAGTGATTTTACTTGGAACACTCAGCCTTTATTTTGTGAGTATTTTTGTTGGAGGGAGAGGGCCTCTACTGAAGGACTAAACTGGCCTACGGAGACATCGGTGTTCCAGGAGCAGTACAACTGAGTTTGAAGCACTCTGTTATTCTAACCTCGCTTTCTCTGTTGCCACTCTCCTCTCTGACGTCTCTCGCTCTCCCACTGAAACATCCATAAGCATTTTTCCCAGGCCCAGCATACATGCCTAATACTGATATCTTAGCACAAGAAAATAGCCTACTGAAAATTTCCATCCAGGCTTCGTCTGGGTACAAGGAGTTCATTGTATGATCTAATATTTGCATAATTCCCTGAGTTAAAATGGGTAAGATTCAAAAATAGTGTCGTTGCAGGATGACAGTGTGTAGCTAATTTAGCTGATTGAATAACTGACCTTAAATCCCTGCTAGAAAAACCAGCATTGACCAACATATGTTGAGTTTTGAGATTGGTATGCTGGTCAACCAGCATGACCATGCTGGGTGACCAGATAAACCAGAATCAGACTAGCACTAGAGCACCATAAACCAGCATAGACCAGCATATGTTGAGTTTTGAGACTGGTATGCTGGTCAACCGGCATGACCATGCTGGGTGACCAGCTAAACCAGAATCAGACCAGCAGTAAAGCACCATAAACCAGCATAGACCAGCATATGTCGAGTTTTGAGACTGGTATGCTGGTCAACCAGCATGACCACGCTGGGTTTCCAGCTAAACCAGAATCAGACCAGCACTAGAGCACCATAAACCAGCATAAACCAGCATATGTCAAGTTTTGAGACTGGTATGCTGGGTGACCAGCTGAACCAGAATCAGACCAGCATATGTCGAGTTTTGAGACTGGTATGCTGGGTGACCAGCTGAACCAGTATCAGACCAGCACTAGAGCACCATAAACCAGCATAGACCAGCATATGTCGAGTTTTGAGACTGGTATGCTGGGTGACCAGCTGAACCAGTATCAGACCAGCACTAGAGCACCATAAACCAGCATAGACCAGCATATGTTGAGTTTTGAGACTGGTGTGCTGGTCAACAAGCATGTGGCCAGCTAGCTAATGAATCTGTTACCTCCAAAAGCTATTCAGCTGGATTCTCTAGCAGTGTTGCTGCATCTCCCAGAGATCATTGCATGGTAATGATGCCTTGCTAGCCTGCTAGCCACCTGATCTTCAAACACACCAGGTAGACTTTTGATTTATGTTTCATGAAATATTTGTATTATTCATATACTTTCAAAGAGGTTTGACCGATCAGGCAGGTTTAACTTTTGAACAGATTCGGCCTGCTGGCTTGCAAGAAACAGCTTGAGACCTTTCCAGAATTCACAAGTATGGTTTTTATTCTGTTTGAGAGCGAGAGCAACCTCTAAACGCTTTGCAGATGACATTAGTGCTGTCCCACTGGCGTCTAATGAGAATCCTCGCTTTTGTTTTTTTGTTTGTTTTGTCTACAATGTCTTCTCGCTGCTCAGATGGCTTTTAGCTGAGTTTTTATGTGCTTTGGCAGACTGAGAACTTAGCGCACCAACTGAGTTTTTCACCTCAGCAAACGTATCCTTTTACTGCATGAACCAAAGTTACAGACATCCTGTAACTTAAGCATCGCACTCTGATGGAAATCCATTTCTGACCTCTCAATATTTTGAATGGGAAGTGCCAGAGGTGACACAATATACTCAATGACATCAGAATTACGGTGGACTTATTACTACTCAGTGTCATGATTTTGGCCCGGATTCCGTGGTCCCATCTTTTGCCTGCAATTTTTGCCAAAGATGGATCCACAATTCCACAATTACATGGCAGTCCAAATGCACAGACATGGAAAAGCAGAGAATTGTCTGTATGAGCGGTTTCTGTAGAGGGTAAAGTTACATTGAATTGAATTCAGTAATCGCGAGCTGGCAGTCTTAAAAAGTCAAACTGCATGTGATTAGACATCTTTTGAGGAAGTCACTCTAAAATAGGTCAATCTACAGAGTAGGAGCGTTTGAGGAGCCAAACGGCACAGCTAAAAACACGCAGAAGTGAAATTTAGGGTGCAGCGACTCCCTCACAAGATACATTGTTGGTGTACAAATGTGACGAAATGCAATTAAATATTATTCGCTCCAAGGGTTGATTGATAAAATCAGAGATGCACCGATATGAGGGTTGTGGGCCAATACCACAGTATTTTATATATGTATCTGCCAATGCAGAGACATTTATAAAATGTTGAAACTGGAATTAAATTAGGGATGATGTGCACAAGCACTCGAGTACAGTACACAAAGTACACAAATCATGTACTTGAGTTAAAGTAGAGATACCCAAGGTAAAATATCACCCCAGTAAAAGTAGAAGTTCCTCCCTTTAGACCTCCACTTGAGTAAAAGTACAAAAGTATTCACCTTCAAATGTACTTAAGTATCGAAAGTAAAAGTACTATAAGATTAATTATGACTCTAATGTCCTATTATCATTTTTGGGAGAAGACTCGCTTCATTAACTCATTTTAGGTGAAAATACTCCAGTGTCTCTCTTGGTAAACCAGTCTTTTAATAGAATGTCATTAATTAGTGACGCTGATGTCTATTAAAATTATCATAAGCACAAAACACTGAAGGCAAACAGTTTCCATCAGGTAGAACTGAGTGGCTCTGAAATCACTTTTTACAAACAAGCAAAGTTTCAGTTTAAGATTTATTTGAACTTAGTTACAAGTTTAAGTTTAGTAAAAACTTTAAACTCAGATTCACAAATGAGTTTCCTTTACTAAACTGCGTCTGTAGGTCTCTGTTCATAAACATAAACTATACAAAACTAATTTACTATAAAATGAAATAGTGTTTGTATAAATTCAGAATAAAGACACGTCAGTCACAACTGCATATGAGTACATATTTCTATATTGTGGTCTATTTACACAAAGTTAGGTTAGTTCATCATTTATGTTGAATAGACTCTCCCCATTTTACGCTGCTGCACTGATGTTGAACCGTGTGCTGCACTGGGTCGGTATGACCAACAGGTCAAAACAAGCTCAAAACAAATTGCGCTGTGCTCTGATTGGTGTTCTTACTTCATGCTTCTTTCGTTTTGATGTTATGTTTTTATACACACGTAAGTCAAAAGGAACAGCAGACTTCCCATAATGTAGTGGAGTGAAAGTAAAAAGTCGCCCAAAATGGAAAAACTTCAGTAAAGTACAGATACACGAAAAAACTACTTAAGTACAGTAAAGAATTACATTTACTTCATTACTGTCCACCACTGCCAGTACATGAATCCTGAAATCACTGACTGGTTCTTCATTACGTTTCATCACAGGAAGACAAAAAACATGCAGGCTAACAGTTCAGGGAAATGCTGACTTTAAGTTTTAACAGGTCTGTAATATGCGCAAGTAAGTTTAACACACTTTACAGCTACACAACACGAGTGCCTGAGTACTTTGACTGAAAAGGAAGATAAAGATTGCTGCTGGCTCCTGGCTAACTAGGCTAACTACTCTAGCTGATGTTAGCTACATCCAGAAACAGTGAAAATAGGAGATGATGAGTCAGTGCTTCATCTCATTGTCCATTTGATCAGCTCCACTTACTATATAGGTGCACTTTGTAGTTCTACAGTTACAGACTGTAGTCCATCTGTTTCTCTGCATACTTTGTTAGCCCCCTTTTACCCTGTTCTTCAGTGGTCAGGACCCACATGGACCCTCACAGAGCAGGTACTGTTTGGGTGGTGGATCATTCTCAGCAGTAACACTGACGTGGTGGTGGTGTGTTAGTGTGTGTTGTGTTGGTCTGAGTGGATCAGACACAGCAGTGCTGCTGGACACCTCAGTCCACCAACCAAAAATATCCAGCCAACAGCGTCCTGTGGGCAGTGTCCTGTGACCACTGATGAAGGACTAGAGGATGACCAACACAAACTGTGCAGCGGCAGATGAGCTATCGTCTCTGACTTTACATCTACAAGGTGGACTGATGAGGTAGGAGTGTCTAATAGAGTGGACACTGAGTGGACACAGTGTTTAAAAACTCCAGCAGCACTGCTGTGTCTCATCCACTCGTACCAGCACAACACACACTAACAGAATGCTGAGAATGATCCACCACCCAAATAGTACCTGCTCTGTGGGGGTCCTGAGCACTGAAGAACAGGGTAAAAGAGGGCTAACAAAGTATCAGAGAAACAGATGGACTACAGTCTGTAACTGTAGAACTACAAAGTGCACCTATATAGTAAGTGGAGCTGATAAAATGGACAATGAGTGTAGAAACAAGGAGGTGGTCATAATGTTATTCCTGATTGGTGTATGATTCCACCACCAGTGGACTGTAGTGTGGAGGTTATGCTAGCACACTTACAAAACTTCAACACTGAAAAACAATAGCCCTGGCTTATTTTATACCAGAAACAATGTGGCACAGTGACAAAACGTTTCATGCTTTTGCTTTGAAAAACATGGACATGTTTTGTTTAAATGCTTTTAGTGGCAAACAATATACTTGCCGTCTAATGATTGAGCTTTGTAGCCAGTATGACAGGCTACTTCACCGATTAACACGGGAGTGTTAGCCTAGCATCAGCTAGAGTAGTTAGCATAGTTAGCCAGGAGCCAGCAGCGATCCCTTTCTACCTTCTTAATCAACGTCACCTTGGCATCATGCTCATGTTCAGGCAAAGTATGTTATACTTGCAAGCAGTGTGGCCGCATGCAGAAGTGGTGCAGTGGGGGTGATATGCCCATCAGCATGGTCAGCAAGCCATTACTTCAGTGTTACGGCCGTTGTTGCAACCTTATCTTATAGGCCTATTTCTGTCTTCCAAATTATCACTGTATATTTAATTCCAAAGCATGGAATCTCATGATAAGATGGCCTTTGCAAGAACATAACGTCCGATCCAACAATGACCTCCCTTGCCCCCTGAAATCAAGTGGCTGTGAACAACTGGAGTAGGAGTCCATGATCTTCACTGCATGCTGTTTAGTGGTGTTCTTAAAAACCTGGGGTCTGTGCTGAGGGGGCCATTGGGGGCTTGAACAGGACCAGAGGACTGGGATGGGGTTGGCTTCTTTGTTGTCCAGAGTGCAGACCATGGTTTCCAGGAACAATGCAGCTGATGAGATGCTCTCCAAGGAAAATATGGGTCTGACATCATGGGTTCTTAAAGCTCGCAGCTGAGCCAACACGCTCTTGCCACAATCAGCACTCAGTGAATTTCCACTGCTGAGGGAAAGAGGGAATGAGAGAGGGGAATGGGGTGTGAATATTACCCTACGACTTGTGTTAATATCTGATTGTGTTAAGAGAAAGACGGCTCTGGATGTAATAATTGGACTGGATCTTGTGGAGAGAATACGGTGGGAATTTTGTTGACACTTCCCTTGCTAATTTGAAGCGAGTCAGGGAGGACGCGAAGCGTCTGAATCATTGATAGCCTTCGCCAAGCAATCAGCTATATCGCTGAAAGTGTCTAAACTCCTGATTGCAAGTCGTTTAACACTTGCCTTTGTCCAGATCAGGCTGCATTCGGAGGGCAGAGCATGTTGTTTCACCACTTAACACATCCACTTTTTGTGTTTGGCTCTAGTTAGTGCACAAAATTAAAGATCTGAAGTCTTTTGAGATACTAATCAGCACCCTGCTTTATGCAAGTGCAAGCTGGCCATTGTGAGGCTTATAACAGATCCCTGGCATTCATTAGCAGTGAAAATATGGTTTTATCCATGTAACACTAATCTTCCCCCCCACCAAAATGACTGTGGGGAAAGCTGGGAAATAGAGAGCACTGAAATAGACCAAATGTCTATTTAAAAGGTCATTTTAAAGACAATATTGCATGTAAGTGGTAGAGGCTTGGAGCTTCAGTTTCAGGGTTTAGATCTAGGAACAGTGTCCTCAGATGCACTCGGCACTCTGAGAACTACCCTAGACTGCGTATGGAGAGAGGGCTGCTACTTGAGTCCTTCGTCTCTTGTATTTCAGAAGCACACTGGACACCGCTGCACTCAAATATGTTTTTAATTACCATTATTACACTGAACGACCACCGTGATGAATGCTAAGTCTGAGTGCTGGGGTTTCTTACTGCGAAAACTGCGCCTAGGAACTTAAAATGTGACCATACGTTGGTGTGCTAGGTGTGGGGATGGCCTAGAGCGTCTAGGGACAGACTGCCAGGTTTACATTTCCATCGGCATGGCGTGACTGAAGATGAAGGTGGATGGACGGGACAGAAATGCCTACCATTCCAATACCACGTTTTGCTTTCTCATGGTTCCTGATGACCCCAAAACTCCTAATTCTGGATTCTCGTCCCCCTTTTCAGACTGTAATTTGTGTAATTGGGGCTAATAATCGATTCAGTATTAGTCAGAGGAGAAGATGGATGAAATAAGATTCAGAATAGCTGGACCAGGTGCCTGCCAGCCGCCTGCTCCACATTTATAAACCATTATGTGTGCTGAAACTGAGCCAGGTGGCCAATTTATCTGTTTAAAAAAAAAAGGCTTGATTGTTCCACTACATATCCATTAAAAAGTGCTGTCAGCATACAAGAGCTCGGACCTGTCACTGCAGCCTTTCTCTGAAAAGCTGAGCATGCAGCTTTCTCCACGGAAAACCCACACCCTGATTTGTTTGCTTTGGTGGAACATGTCACTATTTAGAAAGTATCACTTCGCCCTGCTACGACAGTGTAGTTTTTGAATGGTGAAAGGATCTGTGGTCAGAATTTGTCAGGGGCATCCTTATCTCCCATCGGTACCCAGCCCCTCCCACCCCCCCACCCCCCCACCCCCACCCCCACCCCCACAGTAATTCACTCATTGAGACAGTTTGAATATCGACAAGTGGTTTATTCAGCAGGAATGGTGAAACAATCTGTCACTAATTTCCATATTGTATACAGAAGGCAGTTCAGCACCAGTCATGGAAGCTCACAATTAAAAAAAAAATGAAATTCTCGATGATAAATGTTACAAACGTTACCTCAAAGTCTACATGTTGTGACCAATTCCGTGTTTGTGTTGGTGTCTACAGCTACTCCTTTTATGTGGGAAGTGTTAAAGCATGATAACTGACAACAATAGCATTGTACTGTACAGTTTTTGAAGCACCATCTCCATCAGTGAGAACCCTTACATTCTCTTAAACGTCAGATTTATGAGACGGTTTTTCTAGAGTCAGGAGTTCCGTAGTAGCCAGTCAACTTGGGGAATAAGCCTACCTTATTCCACTTACAGTACAGGTTTAATAGGGCTGAATGGGCACCAAAAAACACCCAAGGTAAAAGTAAAATTTGCAACGATCGGGGATTTTAGACTCCCAGATAGTCAAAATCTTTGGTATCGTAGTGAGGAGCTTGTATTTTGCTGCATAGCGTATTTGACTGTGTCAGCCCCACACATGCTTGCATGTACACATAAGATATGAATACTGTGGCTGAATTGAGGCGATTGAATAGAGCTCTTTCTATAATTTTACATTTATTGTTACTGGTTTCTCTGCTAGCTGACATGATAACGCATCTGTATGCACACGCCGAAAAAGATAAACATACGAAACACAACAAATGGACTTGAAATTATGCTCTTGATTTTCTCGATCGGCTCTGGAAAGTCTACATGCTGCATAAATATCTGTAAATATCTATAATTTATTGCAAACAGTTCTTTATTGTAAACTACTTATTGTAAATGGATTAAAATTCTCAAGCGGAATAGTTCACATAATAAAAGCGTACTGAAGCAATGATTCCCTGGTGAGATCACTCAGGGCGCGCGTTACTTTTTGAAATGAATAATCTGTACGGTTTTCTGGCTGAAAATATGACTACATAGCAAGATTTCATCCATCAACAAGATACTATTGCATATTAAGTGTGTTTTTCCGTGCCAGTTTGCAAGATGACAACGATGATGGCATTCATTTCCTGACAAAATGGCCCAGGTTAATAAATATGTGACAGGAAAGGTCAAAAATGCTTCTGAAACAACTTGCATGGTGCAAGGCATCACCTTTGCCAAGTAGATCTATGGCCAGCTGGTCAGCTAATATAGCTTCGCGGTGAGCCAGAAACTGATTCCAAAGAAAGAAGAGGTGAAAAGAAACTCTCAGTGTCTTACGCTTATCTACAATGAGCAAGAGGATAGTCTTGCACCATTTCCTTTTCTCGACGCCAATATGTCATGTTCTGTGAAAGTCAGTGCCAAAAAATTGACTACGAAAATGCCACGTGTAGGAAAAGCTACACTGGGATGTTTTAAAACCGTGATAGTACTGGAATCTCAAAGTTCACAGTGTTTTCTGTCAAGTTATTTGGCATAGGGATCTCTACTGAGTCAAGACAACAATAATTTAAAACGGTAGAGAGAAAAAAAAAATAGGAACTAACCGTCTTCGGATCACGACATTAGTATTTTTTTCCCATGCATTCACAGATCTCACACAGCGCACACTACTACCTAATTGAAATACCTTAAAAATAAACCAAAAAAGAATGTTATTAGAATGGTGGCCACAAGGCTGTGCAAAAGGGAAGCCCTCCAACCTTCAGTTTAACACCCCCCCCCCACTCCCCATCACCATCCCCAGGTCTGCTTTCAGCCAAACCCTTGCAATTAACTACAAAATAGCACCATTATACAGTGGGCAGAGTTCTTATATGGTTCTGGTATATTATGCCATCATGTATAATGACAGGAAACGAGAAAAGAAGAATGTGACGGTTAACATAAATAGGAATATTGGTTGATTACACAGTTACAGAGAGGACAGTGCGGTCAATGAGACGTGATCTCAGGTGCAGGAGAGCAATCGCTATGCAGGGAGATTGTGAAGACATTTACGTTGCGTTCACCATCTCCTGGAGAAGCCCCTTGGACTCTAAGAACGCTATGAGGCTAAACAGAGTCACCCTGGTTCCTCCTGACGATCGGCACAAGCCTGTATACAAAAAGGGTCAAACCAGTCCGAAGATGTTGAGGGAGCAGGGTTTAGTAGTGCTTGTGTGGGAACTGGTCTTGCACTTACAGATGCACATATAGCCATGATGGACTCGCTAAATTTGATACGTTTGCTGTCCGAGAGGATCAATTTGGTTTGGTTTGCATCCCGTCGACAGCCTTTTATAGGAATGCTCTTGCACAGTGGCCTCTCTGGTGTATGTGGCGTAAATGCTTCTGTAAATCTGTCCTTTTTCGCTCATGCAGTCTGATGCATGTTATAGCAAAACAGTAATATCTCTTCCTTAAGCTAATAAGATAAATGAATGCAGGTTGTATTGATCATAGTGGTCTTTGTCAAAGTGGCTGTAGTCCATAGCCTTCGGTTAGGCCTTTGTTACAACCCCTTGTTTTCTGGTCTTGCACAAAAAAAAAAGTGTCCATCATGTGCAGTCATTGTTTTTGTCCAGTGAGCGTAACATCTGTATCGACATTTTACCGTCTAGACAGCTCTCCGGTCATTCTGCTTAAGCTTTGGCTTGCCCAAGCCAAAGATATTCATCATCTATGGTAGCGCTTTTGTAATGGCTTGCACAGACAGCATCACTTTATTAAACGGGTAAGGGACTGAAGCTTGCTCTGGCTGTAGTTTCTTTTGCACTGGATTTGAACGCTTAATTGAGAAGGTCTGTATGTATAACTTTGCACACCTCCCCCCTCCCCAGCCCCCCCAGTGACCCACTGGCTCAAACCAGCGGCCATCCTGCCATCAGACGGTCACAAAGTAGACTTTAATACAGTTTTGGTCAATGAAAAGTATCCAGCAGCTCTTTTGCAAGAAGTTACCCACAACCACGAGTTCAAGAACAGCTATTATTTAACTTTTTTACCAGCTAGTTTTGTTGCATTGACAGATTTGTTTTCATCCCTCCCCAGAATGGAATGGCGCAATGTATAAAATAGTCAAATTTTCTCTGTAGTTGCAAGGGGCTTTTGTACATAGAGCTCATCCTGTTTTTTGCTGTTCGAGTGAAGCGCTCCCCTGGAGGACCGAGTAAAGCTGCACTCTCTCCCTCTTCTCTGCTTTGCACTGTCCATCAGCTCCACTTGTCTTTCCGCTGCCGTTCCCATCGCCGTCCCCTTACATTCTGAAGTTCCTCCCCCCGGCGTTCCCTCGGCTCGAGTTCTTCTGATGAACCTCCTGAAACAGAAAGAGGGAGATCGGTGAGAGTTGGAGAGGGCGAGCGAGAGGTGTTACAGACACAAATCAAGGAGGCAGGCCCAGAACAGGAAAACAGCTTTGGGGCTGAAGCTTCATCCTCTGTGCCTGTAACAACACAGCTGTTCGGTGGACGGGCTGTTATTTCCTTACGCGCAGGAAATAAAACCTCCTCCACTGTCAAAGCAGCACATGCAATATCGTCCTCTGCCGCTGGAAGATTAATATGCATAATTCACGGGAACCAAAAATCCGGCGCGGAAGAGCAGGCCGGCACGTGAGCCGGGGTGCAGAAATCGGAGGTGACGTGAGACCATGACATATGGGAGCAGGACAGGGCCTACCGGGAGAGTGCCCGCAGGTCTACCACGAAAACCACTTAGCCTGTACTCCTGCTAATGGTTTTCTTTTTCAAGTGGGGCTGTAAAAAGAACTAGGGGAAACACTTAAATGGATGACACCCATTTGGGCAGAGGCAGAGGGAGGGAGAGAGAGGGAGAGAGGGATACAGTGTGTCCTTGCAGTAGAATGTTCTAGTGGCGTCCTTCCAGAGTTGATGTGAGTTAATATGCAGTAGTTGGACATTCAGTTCCCCAGAGGTGGACACTGAGATCTGTGATGTGACTGCCATGCAAGCATTCCCTGAGATACGATCATGCCGATAAAAGGGTGCATGCTTCCAGGAGCAGTCGAATAGGTCACAAATGCTAACGTAGCTGCCATAAAATTCTCTTCTCAAACTATTCTTCTCACTGTGGGCGCCCATACGGGGACGACGTACCTTACACGATGGGTGGCTATGACCAGATACGGGTTTCTGCGGAACAAGAAAATGGCAGTCACTGAGATCTTGTCGTGTGAAGGTGACCAGAGCTAGCATTGCGCTGTTGTCGGAAGAAAACCTCGTATCTCCAAAATGGTAACTTTACAGGAGAAGGAAAAAACTTACTTTACTTTAATGTAAGTCAATGGAACCAGACTTTTTTCCAAGTCATTTTGGGCCGTTTCTTTTGGTCCATTCTTCATGAAATTTACAAACAATGTAAAGAACAACAGGCACTTTCAAATTGTGTCAAAAACTGAAAAACAAAAAACAAAAATGGAGATACAAGGTTTTCTTCCGACAGCAGCGATTGGCGTGATAAACTAGTGAGAGCTGATTTCATGAAATAACCTCATATGTGCTTTAGCTGTGACAGTTTTGGAGGAATTTATCCAATATTCACCTAGTAGAAAATGAAATCGGAGTGAATTATCAGTCGTGTGACTTAAACCCTGCTAGAAAAACCAGTGCAGACCAGATTAGCATAGCAAAACTAGCATGTCATAACAAAAATATGCTCCTTTTTTCTCTTGAGCCCAGATGATGTCATTAATTTCATAATGATTGGACCAATAAAAATGCTCCAAAAATATTTCTAATAAAATCTCTTTGCCTGAATTTACATTGAAAGTTAAGAACGCTGTAAGGGTGCCATTTTTGGACAGCGACGATATGTTGTGTTTCGGATGTTGGTCATGCTGGGTGACCAGCTCAACCAACACCAGTCCAGCATAAACCATACATACATTAACTGCAAATTACCTACAGTCTGCTTAGAGACTTTTAAAGAGAAGAAATGGCATCTTAAAGAGTTTGCATGGAATGTCCTGCAGCATGTTCACACATTTACGCTCACCTTTGGTGTTTTTGGGACATCTGTATGCCGCTGCGCTCGTAGAGATCGTGGTGTTTTACCAGATTTGACTGGCGCACAATACATCTCAAGTCGCCGCAGCTCACAGCTCTGGAAGCAGCATTCGTCCACGATGCCACGGTTGTGTGTCCGCCGTGAAGGAGGGCCATAACCTGTTGGCTTGCCTGGACAGACGAGAAAGAAATACAGAATCTCCTTAAATCCCCTTCAGGAGGTACATTGGGAGCCATAAATATAGCACACACTTAGAGGGGCAGTAATCTTAAATCTTTGTTTTAAGGATTCTTAATGGCATGCTCAAATTCATTTCTTTCCCAACGGTGCACTAGACGGATCCAGCTTTAGCAAGGTCACGCACCTAATCCATTTTAATTCTGGAATCGTACCAACTCATGTAGGATAATAATTGCTTCCAAGGCAAGACGAACCAAAAGGCCGAACCTTTTAGTAGTAAACCGTGGCGCACAGCCAGTGCATGGGTGCTATAAAGCTCGGCACGGCAGCCAGACCGTAGCTCTTATTATTCCGATATACAGACAGCGTTAATGACATGGATTTCTCTAGTGTGGAATTTACAGGGTATCACTTTGCAAGAGCAGACCCTTTTTTGGCAGCTGCTAGCCCGTAAAAAGGTCACAGTCACCCGAATGTTGAGAATATCACGTTCTTCCGTTTCCGACCTGATATCTTTTACCGAGTCTCCGCGTTAGGGAAGCCAAGTGCAGCCCCCGGAGGAGCTCACTCAGTCTGCTGAGGAAACAGCGCTGCTCTACAGACTGCACCTGGCAACCCCACTAACCGCTGACTCGGGAAGAAACACCGCGTGGCAATTCGATTGTCTGCAGCACACTCGCAAAAGACCACGATGGAGCGAATATTTGCGACCGCTCTGTAGTTTCCAGTTGCAGGGCTTGTGTTGCATTTTATGTTGAGATACATGAAATGACTGCATTGCTTCTCTAGGTTACATTTGCAGACAAGCGAACACGAAAGAGACTCATGAAATTGTCAGTGGTGTCGAATTGACCATCAGTATTGCTAATTTGTAATGGCCCACAGTTTACAATGTTGTGCGCATGAGTTTTTAAAAGAGGAATCTGGATTGTCTACTATATGGACCTCTCAAATCTCTCAGTCGCTTAAGGATTTATGTAAGAGGGGTCCTTGAGGTATCTAAGTGACTTAGTGTACTTGCCTAGTCCCCCCCTCTACTTCCCCACCTCCACCCTATCGACCCCCTCCTGGTGGCCTTTATAAAATATCCCACTCTCCACTTGCAATTCCCTTCTCACCTAGAGCAATATAGCCCTGATAGGCTTTTCCCTGTTACCAAATAAAATAATAATAATTTAATATGGCATTTACAAGGAGGAAATGCCTTTCCCTTTCAGAGTTAATAGCTCTTGGCTCGCTGGGCTGCCAGCGCTGACAAAGTGCATTAACTTCTGCTCTGCACTTGCTGTATACTGACAACAGTGTTTTGGAAAGAGAGGCTCTCTCATTCGGAAACAGATGCATCCCCACGGATTGCAGAACCCTTGGGTGCGCCGCTATGGGTTGACGGGGACGCTATAAGATGAATGAATGAATGATTGAATGAATGAGCAAGAGAAGAAGGAATGAATGGAAACGTTTTCTGGAAGATGCACCTCCAGTAAGGGTGTAACGATTTCACTACGTATTGAAAAATCTAATTTGAAACGATACGCTGCCTCAGTCTCTTGTGCAGGTCTCTCATTTATCATCTCTTGTGGAAACAACTAGGCATCTTGGCGCAGCCAATCAGGGTAAAGCAGGCAGGGAGGGTGAGGGGCTTATGCCACGCACCCACGAATTATAATATTATTTTATATGGGTTTTGATTTTGGGGGTTTATTTTTGTTAGTTAGGCACTGAAAATGGGTACATAATTAGAGCTCGGTAAAATAATTTTTAACATTTTTAACATACAAAATATCAAATATCTAACTGAATTTTGAGCTCAGACACGAAAATATTATCAAACCTGAAAGTTTATGTTAGTATGCATGCATGTAAGCTGAACGCAAGGTACAAATTGAGGCACTCCTTGTTTTTGCTGTATCAAAAAATGCATCTTGTTGGGATTGTATCAAATTTAATCTTGTATTTGGGGTATTGCAACATCCCTGATCCCAGTATGCATTTACTGGGATCAGGGATGTTGCTCCACTGATATAGGAGCACTTTGTAGTTCTACAGTTACAGACTGTAGTCCATCTGTTTCTCTGCATACTTTGTTACCCTGTTCTTCAGTGGTCAGGACCCCCATGGACCCCCACAGAGCAGGTATTATTTGGGCAGTGGATCATTCTCAGCACTGCAGTGAAACTGATGGTGGTGTGTTAGTGTGTGTTGTGCTGGTGCAAGTTGATCAGCCACAGCAGTGCTGCTGGAGTTTTTAAACACCTCAGTGTCACTGCTGGACTGAGAACCAAAAATATCCAGCCAACAGTGCCCTGTGGGAAGCATCCTTTGACCACTGATGAAGGACTAGAGGATGACCAACACAAACTGTGCAGCAGCAGATGAGATATGAGTGTCTAATAGAGTGGACAGTGAGGGGACATAGTGTGCACCAGCACAACACACACTAACACACCACCACCACATCAGTGTCACTGCAGTGCTGAGAATGATCCACCACCCAAATAGTACCTGCTCTGTGGGGGTCCTGTGGGGGTCCTGACCACTGAAGAACAGGGTAATAAAGTATGCAGATAAACAGATGGACTACAGTCTGTTATTGTAGAGCTATAAAGTGCACCTGATAAAACGGACAATGAGTGTAGATACAAGAATGTCACAGATATCACACTAACTGTGGCTGTGGACTAAAGATTTTAGTGGACTACAAGTTTAACAAGCGTAAACATTTCAACCCATCCTTGCTGAACAAATGCTCTTTGTGTTCTTTGCGAAAAAGAAGACGTTTCAAGCCCAAGCCTGTGATTACGCATTCAGACAGGTTGTCAGGAGCCAGCAGATTTGCTTTCTGGATGACTTTCCAAGCATATCGGAAGTCTCCCAAATTAACATCCGCTGTTTTCCTCGAAATAAGTCACACAATGCTACCACCCAAGGAGAGAGGAGAGAAAAATCAGTGCATGCCCCAACATGCGAAACAATCATTATGAGCAACTTTTCCAGTGAGATATAATGAGGTAAAATTGGTCCCTGAGGTTTTTCAGTGATGCATTTCAAGGGATCACATTGTAATGCCTGTAAACAATGGGCCATTGTTGAAGCATCGCGAGCGAAAAATGGCAGAAGGACCTCTTACGCTTAGATCCACACTCAATTGAGGTAATGACAGACGATATGATTGAATGAGCTGTTTTGATCTTTTTCTTGTTTTTGGTTTTTTGACATGTGGGGCAGATTAGTTACATCGTTTGTGTGTGTGTGCATGCGTCCATACTGACCACTGACCAAGGATATCTTTCTTTGTTTCTTTTACATTCGCTTCTAGTGTGGTTTAAAGGCCGGCTGAGTCGATTTTTCAGTGCGAGGGCTTGAAGTAAACCAACTCTAGATGCAAAATATTGTAGCAAACGGAATCAGCAGAGGCCTGAAAACACTTCAGTGCAAGTAACGTGACCACAGTAACAGCTACTTGCACTTGTTTAAATTAATCCCAGGTATTAAGATTGGTTGTACATTAAGAGTGACAACTAATGATGAGTCAGCGTTTTTCCGACCAATTTTTGGACAGACTGAAACAATCATAAATTGTAAAGTCATTCACAACTCTGGCAGAAAAATCCACACCAGCTGTGAAAGCTGAGCACCACTTTTGGGTGGCTGACTTGGCTAAAGTGCTGCTTCTACAGAACAGAGGTGAATCCTACCATTGGGCCCCTTGTTCGAGTCTCAGCTGCAGTGCATGGCCTTGGGTGTGCTCCACATTGTAATTGATGTATCAGTAAGTCAGGGCATCTGCTTGGTCACCCAGACAGTTTTAGGCAGTTTATTCCTCTCCCAGCTGCGTAAAGCTCCCAAAGTGCAAAACAGCTTCCAAAAGGGTCCAAAAGAACAGAAAGCACCATTAATTTCCTCACACTTTTTTGCAAGCTTGCAGTCTTTCAGATTGGTGGTGCTGCTGGGCCGCAGACCTACAAGAACCGGAGTTGGCTAAAGCTTTCTGAAAGTTGCTTCTCATTGCCTGTGCGAGGCTGCCAAAATATTTCAGACCATTACTCTACTGAACCTGTTTCAGGGTCATGCTCATCTATGAGCCAAAACGTAGCAGAGAGTGAGAGTGGTGGGCCTGCATGCAGCAGCCTGGACGTTGAGCTTACTGGGCACTGCACGGCATGCATGGTCTATACTGTTCTGAAGGGCTTCTGGAAGAAGCATCCCAATCCCTATTCCAGTGTGGCACAGTTAGGAGCTGAATTTTACTGCCTCGCTGTGGTTAATAAAAAACAGTGGATTCTTGGACCAGGCATGAGTACACTGCCTGTGGAGTGTCAGGGAGTTTATGGTGCATCTGGGACCACAAAAGCTGCTATAGACCTGGAAACTACCTCTTTATCACTGGCACCACAAAAGCTTTATAGCCAAAGAAAATCCCTTCCCACTTTCTGACACTCCGCCACGATTTCTTATGCAATTTGAGTCCAGTGCTTTTGGGGCAACTGTAGATCAGTCGCTTACGTCTGCATCCTGAGGATATGGCGGCGATCAGAAGGACCAAGAACGCCACGAACGTGAAGTCTTTAACAAGTGCGTCATGGTTTAGCGGCTCAGTTTATGGAGACTATTAACCGTCAATTATGACTCTCGACAGTGAGGACAAAATCCAAGTCTGGGTGTTTTCACTGGCTTAAGCCGCTCATCTTGGCGGACCCGCGGCTCGGCCTTTGATGAGACACCTCTTTGTTCGCTTCGCCCCGTGACTCAAAGTGTTCATTTCGGGCCTAGCATGAAAAATGACACCTTCGCTTTTTTCACGGAATAGAAGTGCACACAGGAGGTCTTTATGTGGTGCTTTCTGTTCAAGTTCAGTGTATGGCTAGGAGGAGGAGGAGGAGGAGAAGGAGGAGGGGGGGGCAAAGGGGGCATCCTAATCATCCTGTAATCCCCCATAATCCCCTGCTGCTCTGGGACAAGAGCCGAATCCGTGTGTGTGTGTGAGTGTGAG